TTGCGAAATGTGAACAAGTTGCCCAACTTGGTAACAGAATGTGGAGAAAGTGTTATTTTAGCCTTGGATAATAGTTTATGCAAACAGGAGGGAAAAAAATCACTTATTTTTTGAACAAATAGCGTGCAACCGCAGCCCTTGGCATTGATCTCTTTTCCGATGCAAAATCAAGGTGAGGAAACTGACGCCTCTGCTCGGGTTAAAAACGATAGCGTTAGTACGCCCTCAGCAGAAATATCGGCTTGAGATAATGAATGTGGCTATCTCATTAATATAAAGAGCGATTCCTCTTTTGTAGACCCTCTTAGTCCTCGGCGGGCAGGCACCAAAGGCGATTCGTTCGGTGGAGAGCTATGATTTTACCGGAGATACGTGGACAAGAGTAACAGCGACGAACGGCAGCGATAGTGTCGGCGCCATTAGCGACCTCCCCACTCGTCGATGTCGTTGTGGCGTCGCCGTAGTCGGTGGACTAATATACGTAATCGGAGGCTTCAATGGGGCCTTGCGAGTCCGCTCCGTCGATATCTATGACCCCGTTAGAAATACGTGGCGTGCTGGACCCAGTCTCGAGTGTCGACGCTCAACTCTAGGCGTTGCTGTTCTTGACGGCGTAATCTATGCTGTCGGTGGCTTTAATGGAACCCATGGTGAAATGAAAGCTCTACTGACAAATTATATGCAGTTTTTCATTTCTAACTTTTCCGTCTTTTACAGGTTTTGCGTCGGTGGAAGCTCTAGATCCCTGGTTGGGAGCATGGAAATCCGTCGCTCCAATGTCCGTTCCTCGCTCTTCCGTCGGTGTGGGCGTTCTCGGGAGACGACTCTACGCTGTCGGGGGTTACGATGGATCCAGCAGGCGGTGTTTATCATCCGTGGAGTGCTATAATCCCCTTACAAATCAGTGGTCGACCATTGCAGACATGAATCATCGAAGGAGTGGACCCGCAGTTGCCGATTTGGCAGCAAGAATTTACGCCGTTGGTGGCCACGATGGACTGCTTGTGCGATCCTCTGTCGAATACTTTGATCCAAGGGTTGGTGTGTGGTGTAGTGTTGTAGATATGCATTACGCCCGCCGAAATGCTGGTAAGCAATTCTCTTTGCTGTTTTCACTCATTCTCACTTTTCTTTCGGCCTCCAGGACTGGTATCACACAATGGCATGCTTTATGTGGTGGGTGGAGACGACGGATCAGCAAGTCTGGACACCGTTGAGACGTACGACCCGAACCTGAACGCATGGACCGTCCTCTCTGGCCGATTAAATACCGCCCGATGCTATTGCGGGGTAGCTCTCATCGACTGCGTCGCACAGGTGGCCAACACCTAACGACACCTACCCTTCCCCTCTATCTCCCATCCTCCCTTACCTCACTTATTTCCATACTTGCATTTCCCATGATGGTAATTCAATAAATGAGTTCCCGGATATTCCTTGTTAGTAGCGTAGTAACCAGAGTCAACACAACTGCAAGAACGCAGACGGATGATGTTCGATGAGCGGAATACCCCCCTACGCGTAAAACCAACGTCCAAATTGAATAGTGGAACGCTAGATAAAACTGCAGCCGGTATACAAGCGGTGAAACTCTGGAATCCAAAGGAGCTGGAAGTAAATAAACACAAAGAGGCATTTATGGCAAAAAGTGGAGCTAAAATCCGGCCGCGGTGCCAAATTCCACTACTTCACTCAGCGAAGGATATAGCAAAGACGATAAGAGCCAAGGCGAATGAGAAATAACTTGGTTGATGAAACAGTGATATGAATGACTTGCCCAACCTGTGTAAGCGGAACTCTGGTAAAAGCAATAAAAAGGTCCGGCGGAGGCGGCCTACAATTTCGGAATCCACCGGAGGCAGCCATGACAGTTTTAACAAGAGCTAGCACTAACAATCCCTTGCAACATTCAAAAGCTGCCGAAAGTTAAAACAGCTGATGCCGAGAGACAGCTCACTTAGAATGGCAAGATCAAATAAGGCATAATCATACGCAAACTCTGCCGAAAACCCGAAATAACCAGCTGTTGGTAGGCTCAATAGGGTGCGAGTACACATTAAAAGATGAATCCCAGTTTGCTACCGATTATTATATTTCGACATTTACTTCTTGGATTTACCGCTGGGGGGAGCAGCAGCCTGCTTCTCAGCCTTGGCTGCAGCTTTCTTTCCGGATTGGGCAGCAGCCTTGCGCTTCTCGATGGCCTGTTTAATCCGGTCCTTCCTCTTCTCCTTCAAAATTTGCTTCAAAACCTTCTGTTCCTCCATGAGGAAAGCACGAAGAATTCTTGAACGAACACAGGCATGGCATCTACTACCACCGTAGGAGCGGGTAACAGTCTTCAGTCGTTTAGACATGCGGGATCGAGTCATAGGACGGGAAGGCTTAATTCCAGCAAGCTTGCATTTGCAGTCACCGCATTTCGGGAAGGTGCCAAGCTTCTTCTGATAAATGTACACCAACTTACCGCCAGGAGTCTTGACCCTAGATAAGCAGCCAAATTAAGGATGGACAACAAGATCACAATACAAGCATAAAATGAAAAACTTACTTTTTTCTCCTATTGGAGTTAGTGTTGTATGACAACCGACGCCTGAGTGTCAGCCTCTGCATGCTTAAACCTAACGTGTTAAGCGCCGTGAAGAAACTTAGGAAGAACTAAAACAAATGTAATTTTAGTTTTTGAGGATTATTATTAAAAAATTCCTAAAATGTTTAAAAACCATTTAAAATAGTTTAAGAGTTTTGCTCGTTGCTCAATTTAAAAGTATCTAGCTGGCGCATAATACGGTGCTAGCGTTTTTCCCACGTTAATTCATATTTCCTTTCTTTGTGAATTCACTGCCCCCCAACACAGCATCTGCTTGAATAAGCAATGACACCAATCACATCACACTTAACCCTATTTTGAATACTTTTATACATCCTACCCTCCTACATTTTTGCTACCCCAATTTAACCGTTTAATAACGGTTTCGGTGTCAAAATACCAGTCGCAACCACCCCCTGGACCGACTTAAAAGCTCTCTAATGCGCAATCTTCATCCGATTCGGCAGTTAAAAGTCGAGTAGCGGGAATCCGCACCGATTCCAGCTTCCATTTACACCTAAAAACGACCTTTGCACGCGAGCCGATGTTTGTGATCATTCACTAGACTTCCAGGCTGATACACGCATGCATGATACGAGTCGATTGACCCGGCTAGACAGACGAACACAACCAACACCCAGAACCACCGACCGCCTAGCCCCAAAGCACTTTCCCAAGCATTTAGGCCCCCTTCCCATCCGAATAAATAGTAGCGCTAACAAATAATTTTTATTAACAACTATTTTTTTGCAAGGTATCAAAGCCACTGATTATTTTTAAGGAGATGCCAAATAGTGGGGTCTACTTCTTTTTCAGACCGGCACCGGCATTGAATTTGAAGTATATAATGTCACCGTCTTGGACTATGTAGTCACGCCCCTTCTGCCTATACTTGCCAGCCGCCTAAAAGAGGTCAACAGTCCTCCTATCTCCCATACAACAAGGAAAACTGATACGGAAAAAGGAAAGAAATCTTACTTTGCAAGCGGCTTCAGAGCCCTCGGCTTTGAATTCGTCGAAGGCCATCACCTCGGCCATGATGAAACCGCGTTCCATATCGGTGTGGATCTTTCCTGCCGCCTGTGGAGCTTTGGTATTTTTCTAAAAAGTCAAAATCTCTCATTTCGATAGGGAATAAGGCGTATGAGGGGCCATTCAAGCCAAAACGTGATTCTAAATTTTTGTATTTCACGCATAAATGGATGCTAGCTGTGCGGGGGGGGGAGTCAATAGCATCCAATGACAAGTGTCAAAGACCTAAGTACTAAACTAGCGTAAACCATTCCAGTCTAAACATCTGCAACCAAGATAGCACCCAAAAACGCTGAAAACTGCCCACAAATGTCCAAAGTTTTAAGAGATTTGCGTGCCCTGATTCAGCACCCCCCTCCCCCGCCCAGGTAGCAGTTGTGCGCTGAGATGGGTGAAGCATGCGTGTGCCAGAGGGCTCATTCAAAAAAAAAATAAATCCAGTTTGGAATGAAGGTGTGATTCGACTTGAACGTTCTTAATATTATCATCCAAAAGGGAGGTCAGAAAAAGAGGATCGAGCAGTAATCATCCCTCTGTCTGACTAGCCAGTGACCCTTGAAATTTAGCAAACCATCTTCCAGGAACTAGCCCGATTCTGTGGTATACAAAATAATGCAGACCAACTGCGTGTGTCAGGTGTAAAAATAAGACATTTCCAACGACATACTTCCAGTCTAAGGTTGTAGCTATTTCATGATTGTAAAGGTCGTCTATGAATGGACTTCGGTCCCGATATTTACTGATCGACAATAAAATTTACTGATTAAAAAAGTGTGTTATCCGTCTATATTTCCGTCAGTATTAGAATTTGACCTAGCCTTTATCAACGTCACATATTTGGAACACCCAGAAATAGCAAAATATGCGACTCTTCGTCTGTGACAGTTGTTCATGACTGCGTGCGCTAAATTACGTGTCATAAATGGGAATCACCTTTCAAGGTCCGTCAGACGTGTAAAATAACCACCACAGACGATCTAATGGCGTGGAAATTTGTTGGCGGGGAGGGGAGTTTGCTCACGAATTTAGAGGAAGGAAATAAGTGGGAAATGGGACAAAAAGACATTCACAGGAGATGAAGGAAGTGAAGGTGTCATTTAGTAAAAAGGACCCAGTCCACCACAGTCCAAGGATTTGGCTGTTGCAATTTGACACCAACCGTCGCATTTATGGCATTCAAGAGGAGTTCAACAAAAAAGTTAACAAAATGGCCCAAAAAAAGAATATTTTTGAAAAAGAAAGTGCTTTTGTAGTCCAAATGACACATTAAATTGAGAAGGGAACGCTTGGAACAGCAAAAATACAGCCTGATTAGCTTTCACAAGTGTCTGGACAGTAAGACTGTCACACTTGTGAATGAAAAGCCCCTGCGACGCAGACGACGACGACGACGACGACATACGGACACTTAAAAGGCATATAATTGTTCGGCTAGAGGTGTATTCAACACTAAAGTCCGTCTATCAACCGACACGGTACCCTACATCGGTAGTCTCTACCATTGAGCTCGCATGTCAGATGAACATGATGGACGGGAATGGAGCCTATCTGCTTGACGAAGCAACCACTTGAGTATAAGTCGGTACCGCAGATACAAAAGTTTCCCGTCGAATTGGGTGTACAGCGTTGTCCAGAAATGACTTAAACTCTGTACTCAAGGTGTCAAGATCTTGCAGGCATGTTGAAAGTGAGTGATGAAGCAATTGACTTGGATCAGCTTCTGCATCAACTGGTAAGTTCATGGAAGCCACAGATATTAACAGATGACAGACAATAGGTTGAGAGACTAGCAGCTTGACTTTATTTTCTTCTCCCGTGGTGGCTGGATGGATGACCAGCTAACTGAATGATCGACTAACTGACTGACTGGCTTTTGCATAGCAATGTCGAGCGAAACATGATATACGTGTTGGTCCCCAAATGATTGGCTCACTACACTACCCCACTGAACACTTCCATAACACGAGACACCTCACTTGGTGTGACGCTCTTTGATACCACTGACCTGAATGGTCCACGCCTTGACCTCGTCTTTCCCAGCAGTGAAGAAGTAGATGAGCTGTAGGGCCTTGTAGCCTGTCTGGATGATTTTGGGGAGTTGGGAGTGTACTGAGGGATTCTCCTCGGAAAAGGCCTTCTTTTCCGCCTCCGACATCTCCGCGTAGCGTAGCTCAAAGTCCGCGGAGAAGGGGATCATCACCGCGCCCGGATCGTTGGCATCAACATATTCCTTGATCTTTACTAACCTGTCGATGGGAAAACAAATAAAGGAGTGGTCAGGGGTGTGACTCATAAATAGCTGCTCTAAAACGGATAGATGACTAGATGATGTACTTGGTTCCGTGCCAAAGACAACTGACAAACCCTAGGATATTCGACTGTGCAAAGGACTTCAAATACTGTTCGATACCCTCAAGCACTCGGTAATAAGACGTTTGAAGGGTCTCAACTTTTTCAAGACCGCTTGCTAGTGACACGCCGACCAAGATTGTTCCGTCCCCAGTTATCACTGCGTACAATCATCCAGGGCGTAAAGCTTCCAATTCTTGACGTTTAAAGCGATGAATATTCAAGACGAAGGTTTACGGTAGACACCAAGGCAACTTCCCACTTTCAATCAACACAGAATATTCGAAAACTCCATGAAATGGAAGAAGTGTTTGGACAAGAAGGATCTGATTATACTGGATCCGAACTCGCCATTTACTGCAGAATCAAGGAATATCAAAGCAGCAGAAGTAGGCAGAGTCACTGCCGCCAAAAGATTTCCAACATTCATGTCCTTAAGTTAGGCGACTTCTTTGCTGGAACAAATACACTTCTTATTTGGACTCTTCCAGCATAGATTTGCTGCTAAACGGGTTTGAGCGATAAAAAACGGACGATTTTGAAGGAAACACTCTTGGCATCACCTCCTTCACACTGCCCGAAATTCTTTACGAGCGATTTCCGCTTATTTGAATTTCTGAACGAACACCTCAGTGAATAACACTTCACCACCAACAACGAAATGAACCAGCAAGTGGCAAAAATGATTCAGGGTTGCCCTCAAATCTTTCCTTCTTTGTAGCTTCTGAGAGAGGTGAAGTGGAGGCGTGGCAGAGTTCTCTGCCAAAGAATAAATGTCGTTTGCACCTTTTAAAATGCATTCTTCCCTATTTTTATGGGACCAGAAGTCCCGAATTGGTTTGGACAACCTTAAGCAGCTTATATCGTCTCCGAGGAGTGGTTTGCTGAAGGCAATTTAAATCAAATATAACAACCTGTAAAGTAGGATGCCCATATTCAATGAGAAATTAGGGAACCTCCAAAAAACTATAAGATTATACACTTTCTAAAGAGGGTCATTCAGGCAGCAAATGATACCTGTTCATGGAATTACGCCCTTCTCGGAGATAACACATAATTGCATGATTAAACTTTTTAAAATGTCTTAAACTTTGGAAATACCGACATGATGCAGCCTGTAGTTAATTGACAAGGAGGCGCCAACTGCCAAACTATACTTTTCTAAAATGTTCTGTCTTCAAAACCAAACAATCTAGCTCCAGTTGATTCCAATTCTACCTCACTTCTGTTCTCAAACTCCATGTGAATATCGACTGCTGAAGCCAATAGTTTAAAGAAATGCCAAGGAAAAAGGCGGAATGATATTAAGTATGATGGTGGGGGTGAGGACGAGACAAAGTTATCCTCCCTCTCTCCCACCATTCCATTCTCATTCCATCCCCTTCTCTCCTCCTCCCTCCTCATTCAGAAGTGTAGTTGTTCTGCATTACTGACTTGGTGACTGACTGACAAAGCAATTGGACTGGATAGGCCCTGAAGATTCTGAAAGTGGTGAAGAATGTGAGCGAGAAGAAGCCTTTCTTTCACACCTTTGAGTCGCCCTACTTTGAACAGAGTAAAGTCAGCCTCAAGCATTGCTTGGAACAAAAGAGCGAATATTTAATTGTGAAAAAATGTTTATGCAGTGCAACACACACCAGGTGAGACACACTTCCACCGATCAGGTGTGACGCATCTTGGAAGCGTGCTACGGGGAAGTCGAAGTGGATGAATCTTGTGGGGATAATCACGTATATGCCGGTTCATTTGACATTGCGGTGCAAAACCACTTCTTTTCACAGGTCAGTCAGTCAATCAGTCGATCATTCAGGTAGCTGGCCACCCGTAGGGCCACCAATCTATGAACGGTGCAGTTGCAATTTATGGAAGAAGTGAACAGCGTCAAACTGATAGTCTCTCAAGCCTCTTATCTGTCATCTACTAATGTCTATAAGCCCCTTTTGGACGAGAACTTTTGGGACTTTGCTCGTTGATGCAGATGTATTTTCAAGTCAATTGACTCATTACTCAACTTTGATGCGCCTGAAAGATCTCGACACCCTAATTGTCAAGTCAGTGAGTGGAGTATGGTGGGGTGGAGTGAAACGAGCGAGTGAGAGATACATTACTACCAAACGTAAGAATATTTTATTCACTTCTGGACGACGTATTCCGTTACCACACCTTATCCAAATGCTGTGCATTTTATTTGAAGAGAAAATGCGGCATCTACAGAACCAAGCTACGCTCGATCATTTGGCTGGTTGATTGGTTTGTTAACCAGTCAGGCTCGATTCATATGCACCACGTGCAACCGACATGAGGCTTCAACTCAATAAAAGACCGATAAAGAGTACCGTGTTGAGAAACTTAGGCATAAGTGGACTTTTATGATAAATACACACATAAATGCACGGTTGCGTGCATGTTTCAAGTATCATCTCACTGGGATATGCCGAAAAACGCGAAATTTTGGCTGTCGGATAACAAACTAAAGATGCCAACGTAATTTTCTTCCTTAATAGCTTTATTTCTAGATTTGCTAAAATTTGTAACGGGGCTGAGAAGCCACCCATTTATTCAATCCTACTGTCAAATATTTACCCTAAGGCCACCTTCGAGCTTTCATTTTACACTAGACAAAAGGAATATAAACTAAACTGATTTGTTTGTCACCTAAATAGCTTTCCCCGTTGCTATCAGGATAAATAACAACACTACTTGTTAGTCCTTCATTGTAAATAATCCCAGGTACACAACTGACAATGGATAAACGACCATTCGATTAGTCTATTTAAAAAATTAGATGAAGACAGCAATTTCTTAAATGGGATGATAACAAAGAAATGCAGAAAACATGATTAAAGTGCTAAATCAAAAGACTACACACGCTTCTTTCCATTTTCCTATTCCAAGATAAGGTACTGAAACAAATGAATTGTTTTTATTTCGAAAGATGACTTTACTCGTATTTGTGGCATTGAAATCAATAAGTAAAAGGCTGAGACAAACCACTTGTTTTTCTTCCGGAAAAAGTCCTTTTGTGACATATTGATGAGATAGATAACTGGTTTTGAGGTGATGAAGAGATGGTCGTTCAAAATTTCTATTTCAGCAGCATTCCATTCACCAAAACGAATGCCTTTGCGCTCTTCGCAGAGAAGATGCTTTGCCTTGGCGATACAATCGTAATCAGGCTTTTGTTTCTTGTCGCCACCGCGAATGACAGACTTCTCCAACTTGTCAAAAGTAGTGTTGACATACTCCTCGTCCTTCAATCGCAGCTCTTCACGTATTATTTCCAAATCACGAATAGGATCCACATCCCCCTCAACGTGGCTAACATCCGGATCATCAAAAATGCCTAAAGACGAGAGGACTTGAAATCGAACCCAGCAGCATACGCAAAACTTGAAAAATTCCATCCACTGCTTTAATGTGTGACAGGAAGGCGTTCCCAAGTCCGGCACCTTCATGAGCACCCTTGACAAGGCCAGCAATGTCAACAACGTTGAGGTATGCTGGAACACGGCTTAAAATAGTTAGCCTTATTTGAGTAAAATAACAAACCTCACAGGTTGATAGTGTTCGCAGAGGTAGTCAAAACGTTCGTCAGGCACCGCGACACGACCTAGAGATGAAATAGCTTAACCGACATACTCTCATTTGGTTCTATAGTGCAGAAGGGAAAATTAGCAGCAGCAGCAGCACTCGTCGTGAGGACATTAAAAAATGTAGATTTTCTGGAAGATTTATAAGCATGGAAGGCGGGGTATTACCCAACATTGGGAAGGCCAACTATACCACATTTAAGGTTTGTTCCAATACGACCAAAAAGTACCGTTTTAGGTACTTCAGCCTTCTTTTTAGACATTAACGTCGAAGAAATAACGACCACACGATATGCTCTACGAGTCCGGGTCACTGATATGCGATTTAAAACAATCAGAATCAAGGTAACTATGCCATTCAATAGCAGAGGAGGAGTTAAATTACTGAGGACACACCGGCAAATGTCTTGGCTATCATCCATAACTTATCCCTTTTACTGGCGATGCTTAAACGGGGTATTTTAAAGATTGCGTCAATTTGTATTTTTGGGCAAAATACTGATTTCATTTCATAGAACCAATGCTTCACTAAGTGCGGTAATGTGCTCAGAGTTCCAAAAAGAGCAAACTTGGCCACAGGATTAATTGCCTAATAGTGTAAACCTGTAAAACTCCTTGATCGACTCGGTTTTAGTTACGGGGCCACCCAGGTGTTCCGCCGTTGGACCTTCGCCGCGTGGGCTGACGCATACTTTAAACTTCTATAAAATGGTTAGTCTTCTACTTTTACAATAAAAAAAGTTCCTCATGTTTCAATAAAACTCATCATTTCTCGTTTCAATTCCCTGAAAAAAGTTATAAAGTGTTGGTTTTCTTAGGCTATTTGGCACCCGAGAGCCGCTTCACAATCTACTAAACCTGAGTATTTCAAGTCGAAGTACGATCTACGTAGGATGAGTCACGTATTATTGATCTCCAATTTGACTAGTTAAAGTAGGCCGGATTTTACTCTCTGATCCATATTTTCATCCATCCGGAAAAATAAACAATTTTTCCTGTACAATTTTCGCATCTTCTAGACAGCAAATGCATCGTTATGTCCTTCACTCTCTACATGGGTAAATCCTGCTGCATAGCCTATTCAAAAAGTTGAACCTGTGACTAAAGTACTATGAAAACTGTGAAGTTTAAAATCTCACCAGAGGCACAGCAAAGGCGGTATACATTTCAAAACCAAAAAATCAAAAAACGCAATTCATCTAGGATTACACTCGCTCCTGGAGCCAGCGAGGCCATACTACGTTTGTCTTTGCGCAAATCCTTCACTCAAAACCAAATTGACGTTGGGTATCCGGGTAGCTATGCCAACGAGGTCTTCAAAATCGCCCGATCTCAGCAAAACAATGAGACTGTCTTCGATATCACCAAGTACATTCTTTCACTAGAGGAAGAAAAAGAAATAACAACCCGTGTTCTTTTACCCCTACCTAACGTTATTCTTACCACCCTCCATTACTGTCTCCCCCTCTTCCTCGTCCTTCAATTTGCAACCTTCTTGGCAATTTCGGTTGCAATGCAAGGGGATGATTACTGGTTGAGAGGTTGGGTGATTCGTGACGTGAGTTTGAAACGTGAGTGGATCAACAGAAGCAGTCTAGCGCAGACGCCTCTCTTTCGATTTGTCCCCATTATGAGGGAACACGTGAGTCTGCGAAGTCATCTTTGGTACACGTGGAGTCTAATGGTCCTTATCTACCTTCCACTTGCAATTATTCACGCAATTTTTGTACTGGAACAAAAGAATGAGGGGTAGGTTTGCCTGCGTCTTTGAGGTTTTAATACTTACTTTATCTCGCCAACGCAGGATTAGGGTTAGGATGAGAAGTAATGGATGTATCTCTTATGGTATCAACCATCCTTCAAACATGCGTGTCAGTGTTAAAATAGAAAAAAACCAGGGTGGGGGGAATAAATATTTCATAGATCTTGTTAGATCGTCCAACACTGAGTTGTGCAAGTTATACGAGGAGGGGCAATCTTGATGGAAGGCGTGAGTTAATTTCGTCATTCCTGGATGCCTTCCAGACCATCAATAACTGAATTTGCCACAACGAAGACTGAAGAGAGAAAATTATCCCTCGAGTCTACACAAGGCGATGTGATACCGGACTTAGAGGACCTCACCAAGGAGATGAAAACAACTGACCAACCACCTTTAAAGAAGAACAAATACGACAACAAAGGGGAAGGAGGTGATGATAATACAACTCAGATTAAGCCAATTCAAAAGAAGAGAAAAAATCTTCAACATAAATACAAAGTTCAACGACCCTTACAGGCGCTGACTCTCCTTCTTCTAGTTGTCTCTATCACGCTAATGAGTTATTCACTATACGTTACTTTTCGTAAGTGGATTTATCTTAACCTCACAGCTTTGTTCCCATCAGATCAAAGGAACATAAATCGTAAAAGTGACAGAGGGAATTTCTGGTAATTGTAAGACTTTATTGGTGGAAACATCTGCCTTTTTAAGAAAGAACTAGAGCTATTGTTAGCTTTTCATTGCCTATATGAGATGCTCCAACACACCCACACCGCTGACAAGTTGGTGACACTGTTTTTCAAGACGGAGGACAAAACCACTATTGATTAGCCTGCATTCAGCACTGTGTTTGTACAGTGACGGTAAAAGTTCTTGATTATTCATGTGTTAAGTAGCAAACTTGTCTAAGTAGCCAACGAAGTCCGGCAATGTGGAATGATGGGACATCCACGGCACTCTTCATCGATATTCTCTTGGGTCGAGGCCTCATGTTGGCAACACATAGTGAATGCGAATCGAGCCGAAGAACCGGCAAACCAAACAGTGTAGTGTAATCTGATTCCTCAGATGCAGAAATTTTTCGTCAAACTGGGTTTGAAGCATGTGGAGAAGGTGCGGTAACAGACCACGTCGTCCAGACACAATTGAAGCAGCTTGAGTCTGGTGATACAGCACTTACGCGCAGACTTTGTAACTAAGGGGTCATGATCTTTTAGGTTCGTTGAAAGTGATTGATCACCCAAGTGGCTCGTATCTGCACCAGCAACAATCTGTGAAGTCCTGGAATCCATCAACCAAAGGGGATCCTTAAACATTAATAGATTACAAATTATAGGTTTGATGTTGTTAACTTCTTTTATGCTACCCCTGAGGTCTTCATCAAGAGAACTGGCCTTGAATTAGTGTAGAACAGCTAGGTACAGTCAAAGCAGCTCATAGTACCAGCGTACAGGTCTTACGACGGTATGAGGTACGTCACTCCATCTAGATGCCTTTCATCTTGAATTCTCCAGGTTACTCAACCTACTACGCAATGGAATCAGTGTGGAGGGATTTGATCACATCATGGATATCTTCCACCATGAATGAGTATTACATCGGCTACCCTAATCAGACTGATTCGGAAACCACCGATCAACGCGCGAAGTTGAACAGTCTGGACGAAATGCATATGACCCTCGGTTGTTGTGGAGCTAGCGGTTACCAGGACTGGCAAAACGTGACAAAGACCATTCCATTAGATGAATTTAGGTAAGAGCAATCTTAGACCCCTGCTTCCTACCTTCATCAACCAAAATGTGTAATTTCTTGTTTACTTTAGGTATCTTGCCTATCCACCAGCGAAAAATACCTCTACAAGTGTTGTGCCCTACTCTTGTTGCAAGTGGATGGAGCAGTCGCTGTTTGACATCTGCGATCACACCAGTGGTGACACAAATTCCATTTATACCGAGGGCTGCACGGAGCGTCTGGTCTACCTTATAATCTACAAGTGGCTTCAAATACACTTTTGGTCACTTATTGCTGTCAACTGTCTCATGGTACTTGATTAACTACGCTACTTATTTTATATGTCAGCCAACAAGATGCAGTTTTTAAGCTTCAGAGTTAGGGGCTCCATTTTAAGCAATTTCATTTCGTTCTAGATTCCACAAGTACTGCTGTACCTGGGAGCCTTCCAGCCCATTGCCTTTTATGAGCAGTTTAGGTCCATAGGAAAGAAAACCAAGGCACAGAAGGAACTGGCAATGAGAGTGGCTCATCAAAAGAAAAAGAAGAAGGTAAGTAATGTTGTATCTCTTCTAAGTAAAAGCCCAAGTGGTGAGTTGTCAAACCATGAAAAGCATTTAGCCACTGACAACTTGTCACCTTATCAACATGACAAAATTTTTTTTGCTTGCTAGGCGTGACATAGTATAAGGAACCAAAGGAACTGGACAGATAAGAAAAAAAATTAACTTTAAATAAGTATATCACTTTTTATTTCAGGCAAAAGCATCGCAGGACAGTCCTAAGGAAATTCACTTCCCGAAACATCAAAACCGTGGGTAAATCGTAGACAAGCAATATTAACACCACTTGACTGAAATTTTGTGGATTTCATGAAAGGAATAAATTTAAACACATGTGATGAAATTCCTGAGTTTCTAACTTAATATGTTAAAGGTGTATCAGAAATTTAAGGACTACACTATTATAATGACTTTTTATTTGTAATGTACCGAAACAGGATAAGAGGTGCTTTGAAAGCCACCTGTTGGCCAGGAGTGCCAACCCGTAAAACTTCTATGCAGGCCGGATGATCTTGGATTCTAGGGTCGGAGATAGCACCTGAAACTTCAACCAAAACTAGTAGTTTTTATATTGATCAGGGTTAGACAGTATTAGAGGCGGGGTGTGGTTCGTGCCCAAATAGCTGGTTGTGGAATTCTAAGCCTTAAAGAAGAGCCAGTTCATAAAAACCCAAGTAACAACGATGCTGTAATACGATTGTGGTTTATCCCTCGGTTCTGGTGAGGCGCCACTTTTGGACTTCGAATTAGCCCCCTTGTACCTCGCTGGGTGGGCCGGCCTTTTGGGCCATGCCAATAGCCCAGACACCTTCTCCGTGCTGAACATATGTATTCTGCACGAGTTTTGTGTCTTCTTTCGTCTTCAGGGAGTCTCGGGACGCTACAATACCTTAGAGCTTGGACTCTTTTCTATAGTCCCATTTCTCACATTTGGGCGCTTCTAGGTCCAATAAAGAAGGTCTGTCCAAATAGCAGGTGTGCAGAGGAGTACCTTTTTCACGTATTCTAGACAATTTTTGAAAGCTGCTTATTTCTCCCCTTGGTATTCTATGCGGCCTTAAACAACTGCAGCAGATAATTTTCCCCTGTGATGATTGTTTGCTACTACCACAACAGCAAAAGGGGAGCAAAAAGCAGAGGAAAAGCACGGTTTCAGTTTTCCAAAGCTATGCAAGAGTGGAAAAAACACAGGGGCTCAAAAAACATGAAGTGATTTTAGCATAATATGTTAAAACAATTTAATAGCCCGATACAAACATTTTATCAGTGCACGGAACTGCTTTGCATTGTAAGGCAATAAATGAATCTTCGAATGATTGCAAAGTTTCGAAAGTCCTATTTATTTTGCGAAGAACAGGTAACGTGGTTCAAACCAAAATGACAAAATAATTTACTTTGCTTTGTTGTGGCTAACATGTACTTTTTATATCAAATCATTTTCGTGAAATATTGCTCTTTAACTGCATTGACTTTATTGTTTCAATAGATCCCGATAATCAGCGCCGCTGTGAATTTCCTAATGGCGCTTCCAGGTTCTACTAGCGAGGCCTTGTGAATGATGAAGTGCAAATCTCATTGACTCCTAATTCGTAAAAGTGTTCTCGCTTTGACAACCAGACGAATTTTAAAAAGTACGTGCATCATGGCTCTCCCCTGTTGCACGTTCGCACGTGTCTCCGAATCTGATAAGGCTAGAAACGAAGCAAATAAGCAAATAGATAAGCTCATAGAAAAAGAAAAACGCAATTTTCGGTCCACCCATCGTCTTCTTTTGCTAGGTAAGGGTTGCGCTCTTTCAAACCTTACAATAATAGGAGCTGGGGAAAGCGGGAAGTCAACTATTGTGAAACAAATGCGGATTTTGCATATTGATGGCTTTTCCGATGTGTATGTTGCCTACTTCTTATTTTAATTATTAGAGAGAAAAAGGAAAAGATAGTTGATATACGCAAAAACCTCCGAGATGCTATTTGCGTAAGTGCGGTTTTTGACCTATTATTGTTAGTCCATCGTTGGTGCTATGCCTAACCTCAAACCTCCAGTTGTGTTAAAAAATCATGAAAATACGCCTATTCGGAATTATATGCTTGAAGAAGCCTCCAAGAATGATTTCGATTTCCCCCCGGTATATGATTTGGCAGTTTTTATAAACCTGCTTTTCCATGCTAGATTTTCTTTTCACACTGTCGTCAACTCTGGGGCGACGCTGGTGTTCAGGAAGCATTTGAGAGATCTAACGAGTATCAGCTCATCGACTGCGCGAAATAGTATGCACAACTGATTGCTGTAACCCTGCTTTTTTAGCTTTCTCGATCGTTCTATGGAACTTGGAAAGCCAGATTACATCCCTACAGAACAGGACATTCTGCGATGCCGTGTTCTCACCTCGGGCATTTTTGAGACTAAATTTACAGTGGACAAGGTGCAGTTCCACATGTTCGACGTGGGTGGACAGCGTGAAGAGAGGCGAAAGTGGATCCAGTGCTTTAACGATGTCACTGCAATAATCTTCGTCGCCGCCTGTTCCTCCTACAACATGGTGCTGCGCGAGGATCCCAATAAAAATCGTGTTAGAGAATCGCTTGAACTTCTTGGCTCTATATGGAACAATCGGTGGGTGTTTTGTTATTCGTCGTAAAATTCTAATTCTGCCCAAGTTATCTTTTAACTTTTGTGCTTGCACATTTGTGATCTTGTGTGTAGTACACTATCGAATGTGGAATTGGTGTTTATCTTAAACGTAAACAATTGCTATTGATATTTACTCATTCTCGTCCAGGGTGATAGAGGGCCTGGGATTCATTTATTTGCGATTGTGGTATGGGTGATAAGATATTAGGCCATTCCTCTGCCGTTTCTGCTACCACAGAAACTGCACTACTGGCTATTTTTGGCAGTTTGACTCTCCATTTCCTTTTTAATCGTGCGCTGGCGCGTGTGTATGTTGGTGTGTGCGTACGTGGGTCTGTCGGGCGACATGGGACGCGTGGGCGAACGCGCTGTCTGATTGCACCTCCGTTTTGCATTGTATCCCTCTCTTGCCTGGTCTTGACACTGAATCTGGAATTTCCGGGTTTGTCTGGTCGGTCCTTTTTTCGTTCCCCCGCAGCCTTATAATTGTTTAATTGAGATCTGCATGTACGATTTCAGTGCCATCTCACTCCTTGATCCCCTTGTCTGAGCCTACACGCCACGTATGACGCAATTAACTAAGGAAGGTTGAATTAGATTGAAAAGGTAAAGAGGTGAAAATGATTGGTGCCATCTAATAACAATAAATTGAGTAATATCCTTTGGCAAATTGCCAACAGGTACGACTGGGATGTCTTAAAATTTCATTTTTCCGACTTCTTTTGCATCAGTTTGGTCATTGAAGCAGAAGTAAGCCGCGTGACGCCCTTATATTCTCGTTTGGGTCTAGTACTACTGATGTGTGACCTAGTTTTCATCAGTTTATGATAATTGGATGTGGACTGCACTTGGTCGGCGGACAAAAACATCTCTTAACTGTGGAGCAATTCTTGAATTGGTCAATTAATTATTCTTTATGTATTATCATGTTAGAACTGTTTTGCATTTGGGCTGCGTTCATCAATTTCCCAGTGAAATCGGTGTCGAACGTTTTAAACTTCAGACTACTTGGTGATGATAAACTTTTCCGTTGTTTCAAAAATTCGAAACCACTAATGGACCGAGTGCAAAGCTCTCCATTACTCTTTCATTTCTTTGCTTTCTAGAGATGGGTTTGAAGTCCAGACCACATAAAGACGGCAGCGATGGCAATTACTGGTGTGTGGTTGTTTAATCGTGTCAGTTGCAATAAGTACTTTTTTATCTGGAAATCAACGAAAGTGGTAATAGTAACTGTCTGGCTGTTTCTAATAGATTATGATTTGGAATTTGAAACTTTTGTGGTTTTTATTTCTCCTTCCATATGAGAGTTTTCGGCCTACAAGTCAGCCATAGCTTCTCCCCTTTACGCTTCCATTTTGGATTTCTCGCGGCAGTTGAACTCCTTGCCACTTCTTCCACCAAAGTGGCATTAGAGTGTGGAAAAAGCAACATTCTTGATTGTGGTTGGTTGCTCAGTTGAGTTATAGCTAAAATCGTCTGGAGGGGATTTCTCCATGAATTCATTGGTAATCTTTGAGCCCCCGATGTTACAAAATCACAGTCTTTTCTTCTAACAGTGCCTATTATCCAATTTTCCAAGTGGATGCTGATCACTGCGTTCATTTGCAAAGATCCTCTCCTCATAGCTATTATTTGTTTCCAGTTGACTTTAAAAATAGGTCAAAATTCTTAGGAATTCACCTTCCTTAGGTAATGCCAATAATGTCAATTGTTCTTTGCTTTAATTAAAAGCACTTCATTTGTGTATTTATTCTTCCACATTACATCTCATTGCCTCAGATGTCAGTGGTGGTAAAGGCTGTTATATTGTTGTTCCAGTGAACTAGACGTGCCAAATCTTCCTCTCCCATTGCTATAATTGTCCGTTCATCCGCTGACTGGCAAACTGATGGCTATGACCGTGTACTTAATGTGTTTTCTTCTGCTCTGTTTCTTCTTCGTCAATAGGTGGCTGAAGAATATATCGGTTATCCTCTTTTTGAACAAGCAGGATCTCCTAGCAGAGAAGGTAAAGTCTGGCAAATCCAAGATCGAGACCTACTTCCCCGGCTATGCAACTTATCAAGCGCAGGCTGATGGTGAGTTTATCCTTCTCTCTCTGTCTCTCTCTCTCTCTCTGAATATGCCTTCTGTTTACTTACACAGGGGTTGGGTTAATTCGGGCCAGGACACTCTAGCGTCCTCGATCTTTGGCATCCTCAGCTCGCTGCTTAGACTGTAAACCACACGGTCTATGTGAGGCCCGACTGATGCATAATTTACAACTTGTGGAGGTCGACTGACTACGACTGCATGGACGCATTCACATTAGGGCGTGCATGCATACAACAAAATCGGACTGAAACGGCGATTCTTTTGGACTGACGAAATCAAGAATTCAAATTTGCAGCGTTCATTTGGGGACTGTTGACTTAAACAAGTTGGAACTCGCTTCCTAGATCCGTTTCAGTTGCTGAAGATGGGGTCAGGGGATTTTAGAAAGGCAAATTTCTCATAATAGATATCCCGACTGTGATGTGTTTTGTTTGGATCAGATTGGCGGATATTTAATTTGAGGAAAGTAATAATTCGGATCTAGCTTATTTGAATTAGATTTATCCACCGATTGTTTACATTTGATAGGCCCCTTCTCTAACGTCGAAATTTAATTTACTTGTACCTTATCCATAGGTCAGTTACGATGTGCCAAACCCGCTTTCTTTTGCGGAAAAGACGACCGAATATTGGGATTTGCTTTGTTCGCGCATCACTTGGATTATTAAAATGCACTCAGAGATGCCGAAGTTAAGTCTGTTTCGAAGACCAGTCCTAATGGCGGGTTGTGTAGATTTGAGCAGTCTAAATTGACATTCCTAGCAGATTCGTTTATTCCGAGCAAGAGGAGCCATGACTCTTGGAAGGTGCTCCACACTTGAAATGTTGAATAAGCTGAAAGTTCGAACTCGATTAGCTTCGATGGGGAGCAGGCGAACTTTTAACCTCTGTACGTCTGGTTGATATACCAGAAAAATTGTCCAGTTATTCACCAAAGGAAAATGATGTCGTTTTTTCTAAATGTGATTTTTCACATTATTCTTGGGCAAGGTATGTGCATGTGATTCAGTGTTTCTCTCCATTTGCCTTCTTGTATTTTTACCCAAACAAAATTACGCCATTCTGCCTCTTGATCGCTGAAGCGCCTAGGCTAGACAGGAAACCTCGAAAATGAAATTTGGGGACGCAGAGGCACTACATCCCAGCCTTAGCGTCTGCTGTCTGAAAGTTGCCTGAAAGGGAAGGGGGGTTTGAGGTGGAGCGGACAGAGGGCGGATAATTGCCAGTTGTTGTGCACCAAAAGCACCAGACGAATAAGTGCGTGTAAACTGGTTGGGGGTGGGGGGTGGTTAAAGGGCTATTTTCAGTCACGAATTTTTTGCTGTATCTCATACAGTGGTAATTTCCCACTGTAAATAGAATAATTTTGACTTGATGTGAGTGACTTGATTACCTAAGCTCTTAATGCTTGCTCGCCCCTTTCTAGTCCTCGCGGAATACAGTGACGAAGACCCCGAAATCGTCCGTGCCAAATTCTTCTTTCGAGACGAATTTTTGGTTCGTCTTTTTTGTTTTATTCTTTCTAAATTAAACTCACTAGTTACGCTTCCTCATTATATTTCTTTGCTTCCACTTCACCTCCTTTTCCATATCTGAGAAATTTACGACGGAATTCCAGTAGTTACTCGACCTAGCACGAATCTTGCATCGTGGTAGACTGGAATAAATAATGCTTTAATATTAATTTTCATCGGTGGTGATTTATCTACTTATCATTTGGTATTCCCCTATTCTGACTCCATTCCCTCCCTTCCTCCCTCCCTCTCCCTCCAACCCCAGCACTAAACCACATTTAAAAATACCACGTAAACGGTTTTTTTTTGGTGTATGAACTGAACAGCCCATGCATATGTGCATTGGTGCGTACGTGTGTGTTCTTCTCGTAATCTTACTCCCCTATTGGTTCATTGCAATGACGCAATAAAACCCTGGTTTTTTCATTGGTGGACTTGATCCATATAAGTGCGCACGTATGCGTGTGCGAGGCGCATGTGCGTGCATGAACCAACCACTTGGTAGGCTGGGCTTTTTGCGTCATTGAGATGAGCCAATGAGAGAGCAATGTCTATTTGGGAATGCGGTGCATGCGTGTAAATTTATGGGTGCTGCTCGCGCGTGCCTATCCCTCTCCCCCCCTCCCCCGTCTCTGGTGCGTTGGTCGTATATGGATCAGTCGGATGCATAAACGCCTCATGAAATATTTACTCAAAATCTTGGCCAAATTGCCTTTTAGTGGATCCTTGGATGGGTCTTTTTGCAGTTGCTATAGCGATTATGTTGGGTATGTTCATTCGCAAAAATCTGCAAACCATTTGTGCACGGAGAAGGTTAGAATGGGGTAGCACATCGCTAGGCAATGTGCATACATACCGAAGTGGGATTCATAACCGATTTCTATCAAGCTGCATCCTCCGTCAAATAGCTACACGAAATCTTTAGTAGAATTTGATCACTAAATCCTTGGTGCTTTTTCTGATGCACACCTTTTGGTGCTATTATGCATAACTGGTAAAATTGGTCAGAAATAGTCCCGCAACACAACTGCAAGTTCGTTTGAAGTCGCCGCTGGACAAGATCCTAACATCCACTTTTATCACATTGGTATTAAAAATAAGGTTGATCAATGCTCGTTTTGGATAAAATATTCACCTTAACCGTGAAGTAAAATGTGTACATTTAAATTTTTTTTGCGAAATCGAGGTAGAAGTCGATGTCATCCTAATCCATGTTTCGACATCATTGGTGAACGGTTTGTGTCCCTAAACATCCTTGATTGTCTGGATTTTTTCCTCCATATTAACAACCAATCTACCGTTAGGCTAGGTCTCCAGATCTTAGGCGTCTAGGCCACAAGCATTTCTGCAAAACCGCGTCAGAGGTGAGGTAGTTGGTGAAATTTCCAGTCAAAACCCTACCCACCTATTGAATGTGGATTCAGACTCTCTTATTATGAAAGTCGAGTATTACTCCGATCTTCTGAGTAATACGTATGCCCACAAATATTGGCAAAAATTTTTTTTTTTAAGTAATCTCCTGAAACTTCTTTGTTTTTGTTTGGTTGATGGGTTAGTTCTTGTATTCCCACAGTAACTTCGTGATATACGTCTCTATCACATTTTCGTTTTAAGTAGATTCGAGGTGGAAAAGAAAATGATTTAAAAGCCTGATTAAGTTTGAATGGAACGCATTAAGTTTTCTAATCTCGCATTGGAGGAAGATTTGTTCTATACTGCACTATAATATTCCAGTAGCCGTCATATCCTTGGCATGGGTCCTAGTTTCTTTCGTTACTTTGACAACTAGGTGATGTGTATTCTCAAAAAAGTGCCATCGGTGGGACGTTTTTTATTTCATTTAACTCAAACTCGAGCTATATTTGAAAAGGCTTTGTGCAATTCAATTGTCATTTGTGTCAATCCTAGAATCTTTACCACTCTCCAAGTTGGTTTTACCTTTTTGTGAAAAAAGAAGTCATATCAACTTTTGTCCAAGTCGATCAAAAATTAAACCCTTAAACAGAATTGACGACGACGTACTTAATCTCCCCCTTAGTATGTAGCCGACCTCATTGATAGCATTAGGTGGTGTAGATTTAGCAAGGCAATGGGACAGAGGTATGCTGCATGGCGGGGGGGGGCTTGGCATGCCAATAACTCGTCATGGTAACACTTTTCCAATGGTGAAAAAGGAAGGCATGTATTACACTCTCAAACTATAATGTCGGTCTGCTTTCAGGAAGATTAAAAATGGGTCCCGGTCGTTCTGATCCTTTTCGTTTCCATTTCCTCTACATCTAACCACCCGCAACGGATGTTATTTGTCCGAGATAACCCTTTTTTGGTGTCTAGCCAATGAAATTAGGATTTTTCGGTACCCAAAAATAATTAGGCTCCACCTCATTGGTTTCGGTTGAAAAGGGAAGCTCTTTTTGCAACTTTTTCAGAATGGTGGAACTTCGCCTATGCTTGTAGTAGTTTTTTTCTACCGAAAGTGTCGTCTTTTTGCAATTTCGTCACACACGACAGGTTATGCGCCGACCAGATAGCCAGGATTAGGCAGGAGTTCTGCACATTGGTTGGATGTGCATAGAAATGACTGCTAGAAGCGATGCCGCCACAACCGAAGTCGTTGACAGTAGTTGATCAAGTTAATATCCTATTACCCCACAGTACCGGCCTTCACTGTCTGCGGAGACGAGCAAATACCCACGAGTTTGGGATTTTGCGCATGAATGAGCAAGAAACTTTACCATCACCGCACTCACACAGTGTTGGATGCAGGCTATCCATTAGGGCTACGGAATGTCAGTTTAAATATTTGAATTTTGCATTCCTGCATTGACTTGGACTCCTCGTTTCTCTGGCAGTTGTCTAGAAAGTAGCATTCTTTGGTAACTTACAGAAGAGCTTGGTGGTAAAAACCGTGGTTGAAGATGTTGGCCGAATGGCTGCGAGTAAATTGCTTGACTTGTCAAACCTTCGTTGGCGAACCGCGATGGAACGTGGATATCGCCTCGATCATTGCTATTTTTTTATTACTGTCGTTGCTTCAGAAGGTGACGGCGGATAGCAACAACGGTCGGCACTACTGCTACCCCCACCTGACTTGTGCGGTGGACACGGAGAACATTCGACGAGTGTTCAATGACTGTCGCGACATCATCCAAAGAATGCATCTCCGCCAATATGAGCTGCTGTAGTCATCCCACACCCGCCCTGTCCCTCTCCGCTCTGTGATCGACTTAGCCTCGTCACTCATTCTCGCCCCCTCTAGCCTCCGTTGTGTAGAGAAAAAAAAACTACTCTTCTTTGTCTCGTTCCCTCTCCAGCTCATGAGGAAAAATGAGAATCTTAAAGCACCTAGTCGCCTCCCCCCCCCCCCTCCTTACCTCTCCTCTAAGGTATATATTGTAAGTGATTTTGACATCCCATCTCCTTCCTTCCTCTCTCCCTCGTCCATCCCTCTATGTGATCTTTTGAAGCTGCGTATACTCACCCCTTTTATTTGATTTTTTTGTTCTTACGTCCCCTAACACTGGCTCAAATCCCGGTTGTTCTCTCTCTCCGTGTTTCTGTTTTGTTTGAGATGCGGGTCGCTAATTCAACAAGCGATTGTTTTCCCCTGTCTTACTTTTCTCCTTTCCTTTTTTTCTCTGAAAGCGCCTCCACTTTGTTCTCTCCTGTAATCCTCTTCCTCCTTCACCCTTTGCTCTACGTATCTCTCCACCTAACTATTCTCTCGAGTAATTTGTACAAAAAGCATTTTTCTGCAATTTTATCACCTTAGCAACAAGACTTTGACGATGATGGCTCTGTGACGGTGGTGGTGGTTTTGGCAGTAGGCTTGGTGTGCCAAGCTCCCTTGGGTGTGATGATGGTGCGTGATCCGCTCTCAACTCCTCTGTAAAAGTCGGTAAGTAAAGAAATGTACTTTTCCCGAGAAGGACTTTTCTCCTAGAACAAATCAACACTCCTGTTTGGTTGGTTGGTTGGTTGGCTGCTCTAATTTTGACGGGCGATTTTACTCGTGAGCTCTGCCACCTTTTGCCAATGGACGATCAGACGGATTTACTCTTGGCGCATTCCACCTGCTTCCCATGTGCTGACGTTTTCCACCAGCAGGTTGAGCTGGAGGTGGTTTAAATCGCCCAGTAGGGGCTGGGGGCGGTAGGTGCTTTGCCTCCTTGGAATAGTTTATTCACAAAGGGGGAGCAGGGGAGAGGGATCATGGTGAAAGCTGAGACACGCAGCGAAGTGCTGTTACAAGTGGTATATGCTTCGTGTAGAACGACACAGTAAGCAACCGTCCTCCTTGCCGTTTGCATTCCTACCCAACGCTTGATCGCACTATTCCACCCTAAGCATCACTAGGAGACCGGGAAAGTACTTTTTACTGGTTTATGTTTGTTTCCCTCGGAACGAAAAGGACTGGTGGTTGGCTCACCAATCATTCCCGCTACTTTTTACTTCCTCAAATGCCGAATAGTCAGAACTACCTTATAACTGTTGTCACCATCTTGGAGGTTTCCTCCAGCTGTCTTCCACTTATTCTGCTTGCATGCTTCCATAGCCAGAAATCGCCTCTGACACTCGGACGCCGCCAAGGTTAAGTGCCAATCGTGATTTTGATACGCCAATCTCTCACTACTTGTATGCAGACCTTTACCGATGACACCTTCTACTTCTCAAGCATCATTACATTCTATCTACGATGGAAAATTTACTTTTTTTGCTTTGGTCAACATTTGATAAGAGTGTTAAGCAAATTTTTGCAATTTCACACTTGAGAGCTTCTGCTTTCACGAGAATTCTTCCCTATGCAAATTCATTATTCTGCCTTTCCTTCCTGGTAGGATATTTCTGGTGATGAATTAAGGATACATTTGTGTTTCTACAACTTCTCAACAATCGACCTAGTAACCAATTTAGTTACAATTTGCTGTTTTGGAGCATTCTCACGTATGCGTGAACTCCTCAATTTCGTGAAAATAAAACAACCGTTTTGTAAGTGCACAGGGGACTGGGTCGAATACTTTCTTCGTCACCACCGTCATTCTATCCTCTCAAGCATATCTACGTGTTAAATGGAAGAGCGTGGTAAGACTTCGAAATAAAAAGTCGTGTCGGAATCTTGCGGCTTTTTTTCGGGTTGAATCAGAACACAAGGAAAGTTGTGTGATGAAACACCTCATATTGGTGAGCAGATGGTAGCAGAACAACTTTGTAGGGGAATGGAATAAGCATTTTGCACCCCTCAAGCATCATAATTGTCAAATTTGGTTAATATCTTAATCTAAGGAGCAGCCTAAACAAGCACAAGGGGAGTTAGTGCTGAGGAAGTAGATCCTAGTTATCTATTGAGTGTCAGTAATATTAATTAAAATAATGTCAAAAACTTGGGTTTTGGAACTTAATTGTGAACGAATCATTTGATGGTCGACATCTTGCCCTCTCCGAAACAGATAAATCGCATCCTAATTGTCAACTAATTAAAAGCCTTCATCACCTTTACTCAGCTGAGGAGATTGGGCTGGAAGGGTCTAATGGTTCTACTGAACTAAAAAATAGGTAATTAATTAACGCCCACCAGAGCGCCACACCAACTCATAAATGGTTTTGTATGCGGATGACGATCTCACACATGCGCACACTAACTGGAAACGGTTGAGGCGCGTTTATTTACAAAATACCTATTTTTGATAAATTTGCGCTTTTTTAACCGGTATCAAAGTTCACCTGGTGCGTGGGTAAAGAAGACAACCCCAAAGTCTAACTTTAAAGCAACTGGAACAGTCTTGTGTGGGTAATTTTGTTCCATCTCTCGGTTCTACGCTGTGCTTGTCCACCCAGTCATTTAAACTGTCTAAAGAGCAAACGACATGCCGTAGATTATTTACTTAATTCAAAAGCGGATTTCTTACCAAATTCCCAAAGGAAGACACATAGACTTCAAAAGTTAAAGAATCCTCAGCTTCATAGGCTCATCTGGTAAACTTGAAACTCCATCGTAAAAATTAGTAGTAGTCTATTTACATATGCCATGGGGTCAGAGAATCACCCTATCACTCTTCGTGCAGGGCACAGAGGTGATTGTCAAAACCCTAGATTGAAATGGTAATCAGTGATGGATTAACGTGTTTAGGGTTTCTCTTCGTCATTTTTTAAAAAAAAATGTATATCTAGCCTGTGTAAACTTGAAGCCTTCAAGAATGAGGATACACATGGGTAGATTACCTTTTTTGGGGCAGGAGCTAGTCTAAAATCAGGAAAAGGAACATTGATAAAGGGAGGTTTTTTCTCCGCAAAGAAGAGAATGCAATTATAACTTGTCATTTGGGATATTCAAGTGGGTGAAAACACGACTACCTCTCATAGCATTCGCTAGCAACCGCCCAACTCCACGAAATCCCACTTAACTGTATTCCATGAAATTTTTTCAACTGGCTTTTACCCCCAAAAATAGATTTTTTAATAAATAGTTGGCAAAAGGGGGGCGGTTTTTTCGAAAACAAAGACAGATGTTTAAACATTAGGGCAAATTAGTTAACATGGTATTTTTTTTGTTAACCTGACTTATCAATTCTAGCTCTGATAAGCTTGAATTCAAAATCAGAGTAGCATGCACAATGTGAACCCTTGGCATGCATTGTTGCATGTAATTTTATTAATCTAAAGTCATTAGAAGCAAGGTGACTTCTGCCTTGCTGAAGTCCGCAATTATCTCGGTAATCTAAGTGGATTATGCAAACCGTGCAGCGGAAGAGATTAGCCTCGCGAAAAATAGATGTTGTGGCTTTCACAGGCAAGAAGGCTCCATTACCGAGCAAGTTGCGCTATTAAAATCAATCTGATTTTGATCGACAAACGCAAATTTAGTTGTTAATGCTCGAAGTCCAACTTACCACGCCTTGGAATTGCCATGGCAACTGTTGGCAACAAAAAGATAGGATGTGACACTGCATGAACCCTAAAACAGAAATTTGCAAAAAAATATAGGATTTCTGATTAATTGATGGCTATCTGCAATAATTGTGAATTCCATGGCAGAAAGTTGAAATATTCAACAATTTGCTTGCTGACATGGCTAATGCTTTGCTAAATTTAAAATTTAAAGAAGCATAGTCAAGCTCGAGTCGCTGAGCTTGAACTACTGCATGTAATGAAAACAGAAATGCAAAAAGAATTTTATTCATTTGCATCAATTACCTTATACATTACTAGAATCATAGGACAAGATGCCTCCCAAAGCAAGGCCATGGCACATAAGTCGAGCAGATAAATCGAATGCGTCTATATGTCAATTAAATGTTTGGGGAGACAAACATGAACTTATATCAGTTGGCGAAAGTAGATGTTATAAAAAAGCAAAAACAATGCTGCAGGCTATGAGTTCTTATAATGTGCTGTAATTTTGACCAATTTTCACAAGTCAGCAGTGCATAAAACACGCTAAAAATGCGATTCTTCCTTTTGTAAAGTCCAAAGCAAGAAAAAAAGCAGTTTGCTCGCTATATACTTCTGTACTATTTGCGTTTTACAGGAGTATCAGTGGGTACAAAATCCAGTTTTACGATGCAACACCTTTTCATGGTACATTAATGCAAGATTAGGAAATCTCAACTCCGGAAGCTTCAGGACAATAATAAGACTGCCTGAAAGTAACTCCAGAATTATATTTTTTCCCTCTTCTAGGTTTAGGCTGGTTAAACAATTTAACTGATGCATAAATTTTGTTTGCCATTTTGATTGAAGTGTCAAGGTCTCCGCTTTATTTAAGCTTTGACTTTTTGACCTAAACTCAACGGGCTGGATGTTAACGAGGTTGGTAATTTGGCTTTCTCTGCTGTGCTGTGGGATAGCTCATGGATCCCCAGACAGCAACTGCATTCAGAGTGGATCCTCAAGGTGGTGTTTCACGTTCTATTCGGAGCCAATGCCTTTCGGAGACGCGAATAGAAAATGTGAAGAAGTGAATTCCTCTCTTGCGACGGTTCCCAATCGTTACGTAAAAGAGTTTGTGCTAAATTATTTAAACAAGGTATGTAGCAAGTCTCTGAAAGATGCAGAAAAGTTTGCCTTTCGTTTTATTTGTACGCAAGTAAATTTTCAGTGTCTTTACCTTTTATTGTATTTTCACTGCTTTCCTTACAGTAAATTATTTACTTTGAGGTAATTCCACCCTTACAGTAGTTGCTTACTTCGATGAAGAAATTCTTGGTTTGCTCAAATGTGGGTCCAATACTTCCCTTTATTCCGATGTTCTTATTTAAAAGCATATGCAAATGTATTCTTTAGGAATGGGCTTTATTAGTCTTGGAAACATTTACTGCCCATAACCATGGCTTCTCCTTTTGGGGGATCTTTATAGACAAATAACCGAACCGAGACATTTTGGATTGGATTGCACTGGTCACACAGTATGCTTCGATGGATTTCGGGATACCCTGCTGTTGTGGACGTCTTTTGGAATAAATCCTCCGAAGACTTGAGTTTTAAATGCGTTGTGGCATCAGCCGGTGGGTTTGTGATAAGCAAATATTCTGGGTTCTCTATTAAAAAGCGCTTTACCTTTTTTTTCTTATTAAAGATGGTCTATGGGACTCACGGGTGTGCACTGAACCTCATCCCTTTCTATGCAGCTCAGAAGTGAAGGATTCCACGGAATCTGTTCGTTTTCTGCCGCATTTTAAGTATGAATGTCCACGTAACTTCCATCTTGTGGGTCGCCGTTGCCTTCGCGTACGTTTTGCTGAAGGGAATGACAAAAATTCGTTCCATATGTGAACTACTCTCACTAGATGGTAATGCCACTGCGTAAACCTTGTTACCCTTTGTTTTAGTTCTTTTTCGATGAGATGGCAACTCGGGCTGAAGCGGAATCCACGTGTACAGGCCTCGGCGCCTACCTCCCCACTATTCGATCATTCCGTGAGAATGGTACGTTTCATTCCTTTTCTTCTTCATATGGCCCACCCTTTTATCATGAAAGCTACAAGGAGATGTTTTTTTGCATGGGCTGTAAATTTTTTCTCAAATCTAGACATGCACACCACGGGGTTTCAGTTTCGTGTACTACCCAAACCAACCATACTCCCTCCCTAAATAGCATTTAAAATTTGTTAAGCATTAAAGTTGGCCCCTTTTTAGTTGCCTATACATTTCTCCACCTGCCTATGAGCTGCTGCGCGAATAAATTCCGAATGAATGAAGGGTGCTATTCTTTACATCGGAGAAGTTTTTGTATGTGTAAATTTCCCTGAAAGTGCTCTGAGAACCAGTAATTTGCTTCTTTTTTGTTATTAAGCGCTCGTTTTCGTAGCATGGGCTGTTTAGCTAACGGTGCCATGTATTCTCTGCTCGAGGTGGTTTCTGCTCACCCAAAGGTCAGTTATTGTAATTTGCGATTTGATGCGTTTTTTAAGCTGAATTTAACACATTCAAGAGGAGAAATTACTTTTGTATTGTGCGAATTCCTCTGGGGGAGATCTCATTCATCTGTCGCAATTTCCAATGTCTCATTCCCTCCTGAATAGTAAAGAAGAAAAGGATAATTGCTATTGTTTTTCATCCGAACTGCTCTTCATCTTGTCACATGGTTGACCAAAATTAGCATTTAATGACTTACAAGTGTGCTACCCTGCATGTGCTTAAAGGGTTTTGTAGGACTTTTGGTGCAGCATATTTTGCGGAGCTGTCGGAAGAGCGCTTACAGTGAAATCAAGCATTGAGAAAAAGTGTCTGTCAAAGTTTGAATTTAATGCAATCCTCTCTTTCGATTCGCTCATGCTGATGCGCAGATTACAGGCTGCCATTCTACGCTAAACACAGTGCTCCTACCACCTAAACAGGCTTTAGTATTGTGCGAAACTAGGCTTCTAATGTCAACTGGTTGCACATGAGTCACAGACAAATGTGTGCCTCGTGCACTTTTTAGCTTCATCACTTGCTGCCTATAAAACAGCATGACCCAGAAAAAGTATTACAGATTCTGGAAAAGAGGCTAATAGCCCAATTTTGCTTAAATATTTATTGCGGCGATAGTTTTAAAAACGCCACCTCCACCTCTTCATTTGTTCCGGTCTGTTGCTTTTGCTGTTAACGTTTTCCTCGAAATTTGCCACGCTATTATAATCTTTACAAACCCGATGGTTACTTAGCCGCCACTGTGGCGGCTCTTAAGGCATGCAAGCAAGGGCTGTTTGGAGTAAACCGGGATTTTTTGAGTGCATGGAAGATGAGAAGGGAGCCGCTTCCAAGGGAAGCAAGTTCACCTTAAAAACATTTGTCGGTACGACTTCACTATCGGTGGTAAAACGCTGATTTCTAAGATTGAAGTCAATTTCGTGACGTGACATTAAATTGTATCCCATTTAATTTGTAATGTGCGCGTAGGCTGCCCTCAGTGGACCATATCTGATGGTTTCATCCGTTAATGTGTGTGCCCATCTCTCGGAACACAACGTTAAAGTTCACTGTTTTATCTACGGCCTTGCTTGAAAGTGTTGCACCCCTCCGGGATAGTTATTAAACTGAGTTCCCAAACCTTCTAACCTGGTTCTTGTGTGTCTATCTGGCATCCTACCGGATAACCAATAGATGAAGACTTTAAGGCAGACGTCTTTGGTATCGACGTAATAAGCAGACGATAGAGGTACGGTCAGTGCGTACGCACCTGACTATAAGTGTTTTCAGTTATGCATAGTTATGGCAAGTGATTAGCCTTAACGTTTGAGTGATTGTCAGTACGTTGGGAGTACATTTCTTGAGATGGGTCAATCAAGAAGGCCTGACCGGGAGCACCACTTCCAGGATTGGTCATCAACTTCAACTTCCCGAAAAGCGAATAGGTGCTTTTTTTTGGCCTTACAGGCATCCCCATCGGTGGTTGGGTGTCAGTACCCTACCATAGTGGTCATATGCCTTTGTTGTTAAAAAATTGCATTGTTTACCATTACTCACTACTTTATGCATACACACAGTCACTCGTCTGGCGCCTTGGTTAAGGGTGTCCGAGCCGGCCCACGCATATCTGTGCGTACTACTAATAGTGATGACAAGTCAGCCTTGACATTCATCACCGTGGTGTAACGCCCTGGCGGCACGCCCTTCTATGGTGTAGATGTAAAAAGACAACTTAAAATTTGGGTTAACTGGCTCTCACGTAATTTTCACATTGATGCGCACCCCAGTTGACCTCGTGTTTTATGCTTATTCGTTTTCCATGCAGACCTTCTCGTGGCCATGTTGGCCGACCATCCTTCAACTTTCTGGCTTGGTCTGAGCTATGGGGCTAACGGCCATTGGTGGGCAAATTCGGGTGAGACAGAAGTAGCTTTCACCAACTGGATGGCGGGTGAACCCAGTGGAGACATCTCGGTATGTATTGTAGCGTGATACATTCCTGTTTTTTTTTAACGTGTTTGTGTGCATTTTATCGCCACTTGCCACAGGCATGAACAGGTCTCTGTCAGGCGAGAGGTTTGTGCTCTAGACACCCAATGTGCTTTAACGCTGGATTCAAAAAACTTTTCTTGAAATACAGGTCTCTTTTGGCTCTCGGGCTCGATATTTGAAATCTATCTACTTCGTTATCTGTCTGCGAGTTTGATGTACTCGGCTTTAAAAAGTGTGTTCCCATTTAGGTTTTAATTCAACTCATAAGCCCTCATTGCTTATGTTGCCGTGGACACACCAATCAAATGCTGTCATCTGCAAGCTTAACGTAGTCAATGCTTTTCAGAAGTTGTCCCACTATGTAATTGCGTAGCCCTGACCGCCCCTTGAATGTTTTAATATACACATACTGGTTTGAAGATGGCTTCATTTCTAGCGCGCAGAAGGGCTGTAAGGCTAGTATCAGGTCCTCGTATTGTCGAGTCCTTTATTTTCGGCTCTCTCAGCAACGATTAATCTTCGGAACTGGCTGATAATGTGGTCAAGGGTGGTGTAAAGAGTTGTGAGGCAATGATGGGAATTAGCCATGGTAGGATTGTGGTACATCTGCGTAGAGCATTGCTTAAGGCCGTGCTCGTTTGCCTATCGCTTTTCTGGCTCCTCGGCACTTCGTTCTCCTTTCCACTCTATTGCCATTCTAGAGACATCCTCCTCCCTCTTGCTGGTTACCCAACATGGTTTAAAACCTAAGTTGGGGATACTTTTTGAAAAACCCATGACTTTTCCTCGATCTTTCTGCTATAGGGCTGAACCACTTAAAAGCAAGTCATCCCCAAAGTATCCTTGAGGCGGTAATAGATACTAGGTATATTTCTTCAAGGTATCTCCAAAGCTGTTATCAGGGATATGAATTTGAAAGTGGTTTTATCATCAGCGCATTGAACGAATAGATGGCTAATTGAAAATGCGGTAGTGCACAAACCTATGAATGGCGTCGCCTTTTTAGAACAACTGCACCGTAATCCACACGGACTTGTACTTTTTGGGCAAATGGAGTGAGGTCAACTGCTTGTCCACGGCCCATTTCGTGTGTGAAGCTGAGCCCAGTAAGCCTGTTTCTCTCATTGTCCCTCTCCATCCGCCCTTGTCCACACTTCGTTTCCTCCATTTTTCCAGAGCTGGTGCCTGCTCATGCCGACAGTCATCTCCATGGAGGCCTCTTCGTGCAGGGTCGTTGTTCCAGCGGTTTCTATGAGTATCGCAGCGCCTGCTATATGATTATTGATCTGCCTCCTGAGGTCACACGGACTTCCAGCCTGAGCTCAGATTCTGTCACTATGGCATGTCAGAATACGGTGTTGGATGTAGACTGTAGCCCTTCAAATGTTGGCGGTGTTCTCTGCCCCATGGTCGCGTCACCGCGCGATCAATTCGATGCAGCATTCTTACGTTCCCTCGTTGACAAGTTCGCCCACCCTCCCAATGCGGCGTGGGTCGGCCTCAAGGCCGATCGAAGCCACGTTTATGTACGTTCTCTCATAATCTACTGCGCGGAGGTGGCATTTGTCTCAAACTGTGACTTTTACATTCACAACATAAAAAGGCATGCTAACGATACAACACCACAGTAATGGATGCCAAATCTGGCTTTTCACCACTGCTAATCTTCCGCGCTCATATGACTGGATCAAGGTCATAGGCCAGTGACTGTGCGTGCATGGTTACAATGGCGAGTGGTGGCGATCAGTGCAATCTTTTGTTGACTAAGGCGTAAAACCGCAACCTGTCAATATTTACTTGCAGCCACAAAGGGCATAAAGCACACAGGTAGGGTACTAACACGCTATACTGACCCAACCACCCATCAGCAATATATCTGTTTGATTGGTGTTAACGTTACGGGGATGCTTAGTGCTGATCGCGGTTGTGGTGGTTCCTGTCGTTCCTGTTCCACAGCTCATATCCCAGCAATCATTTGGTGCTGTGCATATTAAACCAAGGTGTGGGACGCATGTCTGATCTTGAACAACTAACGGAAGCATAGCCACCTACCGTGTGGCGTGATCACACTGGTAACTTGGACACTCAACAAAATGTGACTGTTTAGGAGCGTTTGCGATAGTATGCGATGGGTGTGAAGACAACTTTCCGTCCTTTACCATGGCAAAGTAGTTGAATGCTACACTGTGTTGTGGGAGCGTTCCGCTGAAGAATGGACCAGGCCTCCTAAATACACTATTTACAGTTGACGCAACCCGAATATATTATTTTATTCCGAAATTAAAACGATCACGAAAGTGGACATTAGCCCAGGCAAACGTTTTTGCAACATTGACAAAGCAAAACACACCCTTCCACTATGGTTTTTTCGTTCTGATAAATCTTTTTCTTATTCACCCCTGTATTAGTCCAACATTGCTTCCTTTTCAGTCGGACATACCGAAATTTTTGGAATCGACGAACCTTCTTAATTACAGTATCCTGAATGCCCTCAGCAATTCGATCGTCTGCTTTTCCTTGCACGCGGATAAGATGCTCCTCTCCAATAACCCTTGTGACTCCCACTTGGCTGCTCTGTGTGGCTATGAGCTGGACGCACGTCCACTTCTACCTTCCTGGCCACAAATTCCCGATGTTAAACCCGAAGTGCTGAAGTGTCCGGGTGATGCTTGGAAGCTCTTCGACACAAACTGTTACCGTCTGGAAGGCGCTGGCAATGAAGGTCGGAGTTGGCACGATGCAGAGCTGGCCTGCATTCAATTTGGTGGACATTTGACCTCAATCGCCTCCATGACTGAAGACAACTTCGTGCGCTCCCTTCTCCCCACCACGCAGCCTCTCAAACCCTGGATCGGTCTGAAAGTGCTCAGTGAGTAGAGGACAGGGGTGGGGTGGATTTCGGTGCCGTATGTTTAGGAAATTCTCCTTTTACTACAAATCGCCTTTTTCTTTGTTTCAGCAAAAATCAGTAAGAATGAGTGGAGGGTCAGATTTTGCACCCAATTTTTTGGCATTTTGCATGCTTCGTGACACCGGTCGTTACTGTTACAGTTTTCACTGCTTTCCCCTATTCAATACTACTTAAGAGCCACTTCAGAGACCATCCTCTGATTGTAGTCGATGCAGGTGAGGACGGAAGTACGGTGGTTAAGTGGTCGGATGACAGTCCGGTTAACCATTTACCGCTCTACGTGGACGGACACGGCGAGGGAGACGAGGAGTGCTTTCAACTGGGCAGTGTGCAAGGTAAGCAGTTTTGGACACGGGCCAATGGATGCGAGGAACTCGCGCCCTTTGTTTGCAAGACGCCTGCTTTCCCCATCTCCGTGGAGTGGAAACCTCAGGGATCGGGTGAGTGTTAAACGTTTTTCTCCGTGTCACTTATATGTGACACTCTTTTTTTTAATCCTTTCTCACGTGTTATTTATCAGTTTAAAATAACCGGTTGCATCAAATGTGTGTTGCAAACATATCGCTTGCTTTTAAAATGATAAAATAGATGTGGAGCATTTCCAGACCGAGGAGAATTTCATCTTTTGTTCCTTGAGAAGCAGTTAAATCGGCAGAAGAACTATTAACAACTTGTTTATTGTTAAACTGCAGTGGTGCAGATTTTGTAACACTTTATCCACTTATCTTGGCAGCCATTAATGTAGTGAGTAGTTCTAGTGGCACTGGTGACCTCTGAAGGCGTTACCAGGTTCACGATGGTGAATTCAAGTCAGGCTTGGACGTCTACAGAAGAGTGCATTTTTTTGGAGTTCCAGCTGTTTCGGTTTTTCCGTATGGTTTCCTGCCGCATTTCCTCGCTTATTGCAACTTTTGAATAATTTGTGCGAATCCTTGTCTGTACGCCTGGACCCTGCTGGAACAGGTTACTTCGCTTTATAAATGCTGACTTCCAATGTGCTTCTTTAGAGGCCTACACGGGCGGTAATTACACACACACTGTGTGCCTTCGCTTTTAGCAAGAGGTCAAGCTCTCATGTGGTTAGGCGCGATGTTTTGACTGTGGAATTGTGAATTATAATTTGGCTCAAACGGTTATCGTGCAATTGCATACGGAAGACTTGGAGGACGTTGTTGGAATGTGGGACGCGGGTGAAGAGTTATATCTCACTGGACCTTGCTCCTCAGCACTTTCTAGCATTGAAAACAGGATTACCACTGTGAGCGTGCGTTCAAAGCTAGAGATAGTCACACTTGTCAATTATACTCCCCACTTTTGGCATTTTCGTTGAAGAGTAGGCCACGTTCTACAGTGGGCATATTTTCCTTGCCAGCTGTTATCAATGAGAAGATATCCTCCGGCGCAAAGCGCATAAGATTGAGTTGTCTCATTGGAAGAGTGATTATCAATATTAATTATTGTCCATTTTGCGTTGCTTTGTTCGCTCCTTTCCCTTCTGTAAGATTTGACCCTTCTGTTCGAATCATTTCTGCCTTTTGATTACCATCGTACTACCACATTTACTAGTTTGGACAGCAGAGCACGGCCATACTTGCGGTTTGGATGTGTTCTTAGTTAAAGTAAGATGCATACATACACAAACATCTCCTACGCCAGCATCGTCATAGACCACAGGTTGTGTGCTCTTCCAATCGACAGTTTTTTAGCATGCTTTGACCTCGGTGTGATCCGGTTACTTCACTTGTTTCCATTTCGAGCCGCCTAATGTAACTCGCTTTGCCAATATTGCTGTTATTACTGGTTCCATGTGAGATCGGTCGCTCACTCCGCAAATTGCATGGAAGGCACGTCAAATTTAACGAACTCAACTACCTCCCTGTTACGGTGTTTTTTTTCCGTGTTCTTCCCTTGTCGTTCACTTAAGCTAGTGAGCCTAAGTTGTTGCTGCTTAACCAAGCCACCTACCAAGTGACGGTAAGCAACATGCTTGGGCAATACTTTTAAGTCATTCTTGGTCTTTTGCGACCAGGAAGACTGAATCAAATTTCTACCCTGAGCTCCATTTTACTGTTGTGGGGGTCAACTAACGACCGGGAAGGTACGCGTAGCTAAGCGTAGAGTTGAAACAGCACAACCTTATCAGGAGTGTTGACCTTGACACTTCCTCCGATTCCTTCTCTCCATTGACCAGCACAAAAAGTGAATTCAACCCTGAGGCAGGGGAGACTATATAGTGCTTCTCAATAGCATTTGGAAGACTTCCATATAGATTTCATGTTCCCTATCCTCTTCTCGAAAGTGTTTCACATCATACATCGTTCTTACCCCCCTCGCACCTAGTTGGAGTACTTGCTGAAGATCGAAATCCCATTGAATGAGGCCTACATTGTACGGTGACCACTATGAGGGCCTTCTTGATCTCATTTTGCATCTAAGTTTTTTATCAGGTTCTTGTAACATAAAAGAATTTTAAATGACTACAAAAGCACTTTTTTTAGATCACTGCTTACCCGGCAGCCATCCCCAGTTCTGCTTCAGCGTGAACCACACAGCAGTCAAGTTTGCCGATGCTGTCTCGTTCTGCCAGGCCGCTGGAAAACACGTGGCCACCATTTTGGACGACAGCCAACAGGACTTTGTCCTCCGTGCTCTGCGACAAGTGGGTCCACTTATTTGGTACATGGCCAAACTCCCCAGTTGGATGGGCCCATAGCAACTTAGTCCTAATTCGTAGTAAAATATAGGAATGGGAGCTAGTTTTGCCATCTCGTTCAACAGCGCCAAAGCCTCAGTAGTCCTTTTGAATGTGCAATTCTTGGAACATGATTTGATTGACTAATTCCCTGAAGTTAGGCAGGTATTTGCTTAAATTGCATCCATTGTTGGGAAGAGGTTAAAGATTTCAAAGAACTTGAAAACGCTTAGTTGTAAAAACTGTTAATTCAGCTAAGAAGCATTATCAAAACTTATGCTAGAATTGCATTAAAATGGAAGGAATGCGGTCTGCTTGCCAACTGAGCACTGTGGGCGGAACATGTTCTAAAGGTACAAATTCCTTTTCGTTGGTTTTTGTGCTTCACTTGGGTCAGGGTTATTTATGCGGTTTGAAAGGTCAAAGTGGTTGTACTTGCGTGACAAATTGAACGTTCACTTGGCATCAAGTCGGCTGCTACCAAGACTTTGGAAGACAGAAAAAGAATTTCAGAACTTTTTTGTGGGGCAGCTTAGCATGTCATTGTTTCATGGAATGAATGCAGTTGCAGTGGAATAGACCGATGAATGCGCTAGGTATATCCATCCAGGCCTCATTCACTCTTCTCAGTTGCATGTTTTGCCGTTGCAATTTTGTATGCAATCAAGCGTTTCAAATAATTTGATAAAATCACGAAGTTGAACGGACAAATTCCGTGGTGCAACTTGCAGCATCAGCGAACGAAGCGTTTGTTGAGGCGTAATTGTGGCTAATTAGCACACACACACACACACGTAGTGAATGATTTGCGTGATAAATTGCCTCTCGTTTTGGTTGCCTATCCTAACAAATCGTTTAACCGCCCCCTCCTATAGCTTGCTTCCCTTGAACTGGGACGCAACACCATCCAGAGATATTGGATTGGTCTACTTCGATCCCGTGGAACACTCCACTGGGTTTCAGGCTACCCTGCTGTGCCAAATGTCTACTGGAAGAGGGGCGCCGAGGATTCCAAAGAAATTTGCGTCTACGTGGATGTTGGTGAGTTTTCTGCAGTTTTTGAGCGTCTCTTGTTTCCCCTTTCCCTTTTAGATCTTGGTAACATGTTGAGTTGGGGAACTGCAAATTGTGAAGAAGTGAACCCATTTTTGTGTTCAAACACGCCTCCTCTACCACCACTTTTACCGTCCCCGAAACGTCCCCCCATCGTTCCGTTGAAAACTTCGTGTCCTTTGGGCTTTCTCTATGTCAATGGCAAGTGCTACAAGGTGTGTGTAGTAATCCCATGGCCGAACAGCTACCGATTATTTATAAGTAAAAATAATTATTTATTTTGTTTACCTAGGTGGAAGGCGATAGTCGGAATAACTTCACATTCGCCGAGGCGATTGCTAAGTGTTCACGCAGTGGGGGTCATCTTGCCACCATTTCGTCGATGTATGAGCAAGGTGAGCCATTGCTCTCGCATTGCATTTGGTCAGGAAGATTGCCATCCACTAAATGCCTCTCTCCATAGACATTATCTCCGTTCTGTTGGCCGAGCGCAGTTTTCCCTTCTGGATTGGTTTGAACACCACTACAGAGGGTCGCAAATGGGCGAATGGAGCCTCAATTACTTACACCAATTGGATGGAGGAGTATCCAAAGTGGTTAAACCCGGTAAGTTTATTTGTCTTACGTTAGTCAACCGAATTGGGGCACACCATTATTTACAATCTCTTACTGCTATGTAGCGAAACCCCTTGTGTACGTATGTACATAATCAACCAACCCGTACTGATGGTCAATGGGCAGAGACTGCTTGTAACACAAAAATGGGTTTCATCTGCGAAACAAGTGAGTGCCCTTAGGGCATGGTTGACTTTTGTTGCCTATTTGCTGTGTAGGTTGAAAATTCTCTGCGATCACATGATGCCCTCAGGCACGACACATCGAATGTCCTCATAGTTTGGCGCACCATTGAAGATGGCTGTGAATATAATACATTAGTTAAAGTACAGTGGGAGAAGTATTAGGCATTGTGTGTTTTTATTTTATTTTTCCCTTTTCCTTTTTTCCTCTCCATGCTGAGCTTACTTTTCCTCACTGCCATCGCTGGTCTGTAAGGCTGCCTAGTTAACTTTCTTGAAGCGTTGGAAACATGACAGATAGAATTGACGCGGCTCACCCTTTTTGGCGCCCAGTTCAATGGTCTGCCCTTATCGTGCGTTTGGGCCGGTGGAAATAAATTCCAGGCAGCAGCACAGTTTTTTTTTCATCCGTAAGTAATAATACTAATATGACGGATTCAGGTGGCACCTGACGATCAACCGACTGGAGCCACAACTACGAGGAGTGGGGAGCGCACCCCAAAACTGGTTTGCGAGAACGGAGGACATTGTCGAAGAGCTGATCAGGGGTATAGGATCTGTTCATGATGTTCTGATTTTGTTATGAATTGATCTTTATGTCTGGACCTGAATCCTGCGTACATATTTTTTTGTCAACTCGTGTGAGTATGTATGCGTAACCTGCAGCTAACTGCCGGCGACTGCAGATGAAAATTAGCAATTTGAACCGGTTGCTGACTCATAACTTTGAATTTGATCACCCACATGAATGGTTTATGTTTCCAACGTACGTCAGGATTTGTTACTCACTTGCAGGACTAGTTTTAGGCATTTGTATCCCACACTGAAAAGTGGTAGTTGCTACTAGTATGTTGCCTGAAAGTGCTGTTTCGTGCTTTCGTAGTAGCATCAGGTGTTTCCAAATTAGAAGCTGGGCCTTCCAAGCTTGTTTACCTCCTTTCCAGAAGTATCGAAGCTTTTCGTTTAAATCGTCTAGCTTTTGGTAAAGGTTTTGTATGTGGTGGTTGAACAAAAGCAATGCCAAAAAATTAATTTAAGAAAATGGAAAGTGAGGAGGGGTACCGCCCAATACCCATTCCAGCTCTGTTTTTCCCTGGCTGATGCTTATCACCCATGCTTGGCACCGGACAATCGTGTCATAACCTGCGAACTAAGCGGCTTGGAAACGAGGCTAATATGGCAACGGAGGTGAGACCCACCGTTGCGAAAGTGGACCCCTCGACAAACTTGTGTCGCGTCTGGAAGGAATGGTATGCTGTAATGGTGACTACGTCTGTAGTTGCCTAATTTTTACTACCGAAGTACCGGATCAACCCAATTTGTTGACTCCTACTGAGGCCTTTCGTAGTATTGTGTAATTTCCTCAAAAACCACTCTGATTTCCCCTATTGTCAAGAGTAGCCTACTTGTATTATCTTCGAGGTGTTATCCCTTCTGATGCCTGGTCTTTACGACTTTTGTTGTTTTTCTTTGAACTTTTAATCCTTGGCACTGCTCTGCTCCACTTACGCATTTCCTGGCACGGTTATAGTCCTCTAAAATGCACACTTATCAAACCCCCTTTTTTAAAAATTAACCCTCTTGATCTGTGTCTATGCTAGGAGTTTTTAGAATTGCAGAAAAGGTTTCTCATTGCGATACAGTAGAATTTTCTACTCTGTACGCTTTTTGGTCTCATTTCAAGTTCCCACCTCTCTTACTGGTTGTTTAGTAGCTCGTTGGACCACACCCTATTTGTGTGTGTGTGTGTGTGCTACTACTCCCACTAGCCCTCAGGGTGATTAAAGACATATGAGCGTGTCGGTACCACTGCATGGGTACTTGAAGTCTCCAGTAGCCCGTACGAATGCTCAAGACCCTCGGTCTATCATGTGCCTGCACACGTACGCGTCCAGCGGGTCAGGTGTGTCCCCCCAGGTCCCCCTATTAGGGGCACAACAACGGTTCACAACAAATTAAAAACGCCATGCGATTTCAATGGTTTCACCTTAACGTTCGGTCCTCAACTCGATAGATTAGAATGCAGTCCTGTGTCAGGTGTAACTTGAAGATGAAACTATCTCTTCTTGAAAATTGGTAAATAGTCACAGTTTGGCGTTACATTGGATGTGGATGATTATCAGCCCTGAGCTCACAATGGAACTACGGCCCATTTTCGGTAGATGTTATCGGCCGGAAGATCTGAAAGTACTTGCAATGGAAATCTCTTCGTTCGCCCAGTTTATTACCCAAGAAGTTGGTTTCTTTTGATACGAAATAAATCACGATCTTTTTATGTATTTTTTGGTTTCGTCGATTTAATTTTTGCAATTAATCTCAACCACCTGTGCATATCTTCGAAATCCACACGCATTCGGCTTCTTTATTCCCTCGTTCTTTTTCTTCAGGGGCTGATAATTTGCAAATCTCCTTCCCCAATAACGCCGTTAAATTCGACATTATCTACCCACATCCTCCAACTGCTACATATTTTCCAGTCTTTTATTTATTGTTCAAAGGCTGTTCAACTAGATTAAGTCATGATAGCTGATACATGGGTAATGTGAATGTGCCTTATTTTGAACTGTCCCACTTCCACAGGACCCACAGAGGTGCAGATGCAACAAATGTTCACTCCACGCCTCTTCAGTCAGGATGACTGTGCCTCAGGTTTCCTGCACTACCGAGGTGCCTGCTACATGCTCCTCCGTCCCTCCTCCTCCCTTCCTGGTCGAAGTGCCAGCCAACTCTACGACGACGTCAGCGCCGCCTGTGCGGCTACCTCCCCCATCCCCTTGGACTGTGAAAAGGCGCGCGGTCTCGCTGGTTGTCCGGTCACCATAACACCTCACTCTCACACCGAGGCAGCTTTCATGCGCCTCCTTATCGGCGAAGTCGCAGATGGCAACTACGTGACTGAGGTCTGGACGGGCCTTAAAATCCTCTCCAACAGCAGTCTTGTGAGTAATATGACACTGGTATCGACGAACAGGCCATTCATTCATTCAGTCATCCAGTAACCTCTGAATTCACCATTGCTTCCTTTTGCAGGACATCACTCAAACCGAGGACCGAGTACCGCTGGGCTCGCTTGACATTGATTTCGGTCATCTGAACAATGCTGCTGGCGCCGGTTACACCTGCTTCTCTCTTCGCAGGGATCACACGTTTTTGAGCTCTCGACATTGCTCCCTCCCTGCACCGGCTATTTGCGGCTACTATCATGGTAATGCTATGGAATTCGGCCGATTAACTAATTTTTCTTGGTAGATACGCACCCTCTGCACCCCCATCTAACCAATGCGGATGACTTTGCCTGTCCGACTGTCACTGAACGCGTGGGAAGGAGCTGTTTCTACCGTGTGGACCCGACCATGAAGATGAGTTGGGTCGAGGCGGAGGAGTACTGTATGATCGCTGGCCACGAAATGAATGCGGCTGCGGATGGGAGCGTTGTTGGCCATCTTCCTTCTGTTCATGACCCATTCACACTTCGCTTTATTGGACAACTGAATGGCAATGGACTCGTCTGGCTTGGACTCACTTCAACGCGTAAGTGTTGACCTAGATGCTTTCTGCTGGCAAAGAGCTATCCCTTTGTTTTTCATTGTCACTCTCGGCTCCTCTGTAGTGAAAGCGCTAAATCCGAAGACGTCGCAAGTAGGAAAGTCGCATTTTTTTGGCAGAGGGCAAATCATATGGTTTCTCATGTTTCAAGCTATGGCCTGTTTTCGATGCCAAGATAAATGAGCTTATGAAGTATTACCTAAGTCAAGCACATTCTAGTAATATGAAGTCCGAGTTTTCCACCCCAGATGTTATTAGGGATTCGAGTGTGAAGGGACTGGGTCTGTTACCACAGTCCCGTACCACCACGTTGAAGGCAAAGTTGTGGAGAATCGGAAGATCCGGATTCTCCTTTTTTTCGATTGCCTGGTGGCTTGAAACCGTTCACGAATTTGATTAATTTGTATCACGACGGGATTCTTATTCCGTCACCTGTCGTTGCGGTGGTGTTTATCCGCGGTAAAAGCTGCGGACAAACTTCAAGTCTCTATTGCATTTGCTTTTTCGAAAACTTCTCTTGCTCTCTTTAAACGCTCCAAGGCTTAGCCAGGTTTGTCGGTGTAGCTGAGAATTTCCATGACGATCTTCTTTACTTTGAGACAGAAATTGTTCAAGAGGAGACCCCGTTGGTAGAATCGACGTGACAAACCATCTCTGGGTTGCATCTTTGCTGGGCCGTAGTGCGAGCTGCTTCTGTTATAAATTGGGTTGCCAGTTTTATGTCTTGGATTTTGCTATAACCGAGATTCTGGATCCTGTCGAGGTCCCCAACCAGACAAGTGACAGATAAAGACTTCAGAGCCCATCTTCTTATTGTTTGATGCAATGAGTACGCAAGGGAAGCAAGATCAGCGTGTACGTGCCTGGTGGCTGTTAAACAGATACTGACGGAAAACGCGTCTGCCTCTAAGTTGCGTCTCAAGTATTTACCAAGAAAGTTCGAGTACAATCCTGCCGGCTATGAGCCAATCAAACAGCGGTGGACGAGGGCGCGACTGTGGTATGTTTGGGAAACAGGAACGTAACTCCGGGGTTGCAGGCATCCCTGACAGCTTCACATTGTCATCAGCGCTGGTTGAAAGCAAAAAGTTGTCTTTGTGGCCAGCAATTGTAGGATTTTCTGTTCCACAAATATTTCTGGGCGATTGTGTTCTGTTCACCCGTACCTGTACCTCACCTGTTGTTATGAACTGCCAGTGTGTATTTGGGCAACGCGAATTCCCAACTAGAAGACTCGAGGTTTCAGTACAGACTTCTTCGCTGATGGTTATCTGGGTGAAATTAAGCTACGACGTATGTGCACGTCTCTGCTGTACTGAAGCACTGGCACTTTTACATTCGTTCGAATGGTCATGACCTTGCTATGACGTTTAAAGTTTTTCTTGACATGCTGTTGACACATTGGGAGAAACTCAATCAGGGATGCAAATCAGGAAATCACACAATTCTGCTACGCGGAAGGTGGTCTTGCGTTCCCCGGTCGTTCAGGATCAGCCATGGCTTCTGAGCGTGGACAATGCTGAGGAGCGTCTCCGTAACGTTGGCACCGGTCAAGCAGGTGTATTGCTGCTGAGTGATAGAATTTATCATCGCCCTCAAACGATATGCTTGACGTATTCGGTGGATGCTTGCGTTTGTATGCCTTGGTGGACAAGACTTTTATTTGATCATCACTTGCTTTTCTACGCATACCCTCTGGCACTGTTTTCTACCACCTCAAAGACTTGAAGCGCGGGCTGAACTCGCCCAGACTGGAGGGCTGTCTACTTTTACCAGTAGTGATGGAATAGACTTGTTATTTGCTGCTGTATTTCGTTACACCGCCGTTGTTACAGACTGAAAACTCGATCTGTCTTGAATGCTCATCACAGGTGCGATCATTCTTATCCACAACAGTAGCTTATGACGTTCTTTTTCGTGTTTCTATAGAGGAGCTACAAGGCAGCACCAATGGTTCGTGGATTGACTCCCAGTTCCAATGGTCTGACGGCAGTCCTGTTGACTATCTCGTTTTCGATCCTACTACCAAAAAGAATTACAATCGGGCAGCGTTAATAGGAAACCTGAAGACCTGCGTTGCTCTGGATCCCCAATCCGGTTACTGGGTGAAGGTTGACTGTTTTAAACGTCTCGCGTTTACCTGCCAATTCCCCATCGAAGCCTTCCCCAAAACCCACCTTGTTAGCGGTAAGCCGGATTTCATAAGGTTTTTCAACTGTTCAACCTCTTCTTACTCTTCTAGGTAGCAAATATCTTCCCGCCGTGAAGCAGTGCCCTAGTAGCTTCAAAATCGAAACGGAGAATGCCTGCTACGTAGTTGTTAAAACACAACTTTCTGCAAAGAAAGCGCTCGCCTTCTGTGGCACTCTTCATCCTTATGCTAGTCTCGCCTCACTCCACTCGGAGAAGGAGGAACGTGATCTTGTGAGTCTGATTATTTGAAGTCCCATCCACCACACTTGCTTGACTGGCGGCCATCAGCAAAGCCTCCTACTCCGTTCTTGTATCGTTATTGCGGGAGGAGCCTTTCACATCTACTGCTATGAATGCCCTATTCACCTTTCAACCGATAACGAAGGGGGTCAATTTATTGAAATGTCACCATCCTTCTTTCAACAGTTAGCACGGCTGGTTGACCAGCATCTGGAGAAGGCATATTGGTTTGGGCTATCACAGTCGGATCTACAGTACGCCTGGGCTGATTCCAGTGTCGTGGATCACATTTCCAAAACTGGGGTGACCGTGGAATCTTCGCACTTTTGGCATTTTCAGGACTGCTTTACTTTCAATCCGCTACGCAATGGCCCCAATGCATCTTTGAGTGAGTTCTTACCCTTCTTGTTTTCCACTTCATGTACGTTATTGACTGCTAGCAATTTCGTGGATTGCAAATAACGGCTTCCATTTGTACTGGTTAGAATTATACGAAATGCATTTGCGTCTGAATGCATGAATTCCGCACCATGGTGAGTCACAAAGCACCACTTTCATTGAACGGGTTTAAGTGGTTGATAAAATGATCTGTGATAACCCCAGTAGTTCATCCAAGCCCGAAAATTGGGTATCCTTGCATATCATGAGGCTTCAAGACCAAGCGGGAGATTTGGGAGAGGAATGAAACGGAGGATAATTGCCGATGTGAACTTATTTTAAACATCAGTTCATTCTCCTAGTACTTTCTTGTCTCCTTTCTCGTTCACAGCCGCGGCGTGGTACGAGACGAACTGTTCCGCAGAGCGACCCTTCATATGTCAGGTCTATCGCGGTGTCCACGGCCCACCCTCTTTGGAACCGGCTCATCCCCCTCGTTCCGACTTGCCGCCTTTACAGTGCCCCCAGGGCTACAGGCAGCACGAGGATCGGTGTTTCAGGGTCAGCCCGGCTGATGCCTTTTCCCCTTTCTACTTCATGCCTGTTTACCCGTCTCGCCATGATTAGCTTAATCTCATATTCGTGACGTTAATGCTTGATTAGCCTTTTGGCAATAGTTTTGTGAAAGACCGGTCTTGTGTGGGTTGTTATTCACTCGCCTCTGATGCTCTCGTAATTTTTCCCAGGGGTTCCCTTACCTTACCTCTTTTGTCTTCTGTTTCTCACTTTGCTTCCAGTTCTTCCCAACACTTTTGTCATTCGACGATGCCGAGGGCGTCTGTAGAAAGGCGGTGGAGGGCACGGGTTTCATGGGTTTCCTTGCCAGGATCTCAAATTCTCGCGAGCAGGGTATGGTGTGCTCTTGTCGTGGTCTAAAGTTGTTCCTCTTTCATTCAAAACGACAGACTTTTTGAGTTTAATCGAGCACGAGTAGAATCCCAAATGCGGTATCCCCCCCCCCCCCACTTGGTCATTTCAGAACCTCTTGAGTACTTAGGGTTTGCTGGTGAATTTGTTGTAGAATCAGGCTTTTTTTCGTGCAGACTTCGTGGCAGGTCTTTTTGCTGCTGAGGCGCCACGACAGCCAAGCATGGCATGGATTGGATTGCGACAGGGTGAAAAACGGTGGACTGATGGCACGGAGGTGACCTTTTTCCGAGGGAGTCTCGACTTCCCTGTTCCCGTGCCTCGCGATGAGGAGTCCATGGTGAGTGGTCTTTTAAAAGGTGCTAGTAGGTCGTATCCGAGGGTTAACTACTTCTGTTTATCGCGCTTGCCTCTCCATTTCGGTGCGAAGGTTGTCCCTAACTGCGAAAAACGCATACGTGCCGGAGGCGTGGACAAATCTCCAACGAAAGGGGTTTTTTCCCAACTTAGAAGCATCGATGGGTGGGTTGAAAGCCCTGACTTTTTGCCACACTGATGGGAGGGAGACAGATTGTACTGGACATCCACGTGAAGTGGAGAAAGAGCCTTGGAATGCAGCCGCTGGAACTATTGGTAAAAAAAAGCACTAAGTCCCCTGGGTCCTGACTCGTGTCCATCGAAGTGAATGCTTTTGGAACTGCCGGTGTTCCTCACAAATTTTTCTGCATCACTTTTTGCAGTGCACACTGTTGCTCTATTCTTCCAACGTTCACTTTTACGGCCTCTGGTCACGTTCGGTGTGTTCCATCAGCGATCAGATGTACTTCGTCTGCCAAGCTGTCCCCATCTCTCCTACTGCCGTCACCGTAGACAACACAGCCAAGGCGAATACCATGGAGTCGACGGCTCTAACCTGTGCCGACGGGTACACCTTGGGCTTCTTCAACCGTACTGCACTGGCGCTTGGTGAATCTCTGTCGCCACCGCACTGCCTACAACTTGTCAGCACGACACCGATGACGTGGCAGGTTGTTAAACATTGCTTGTCTAACGTTTAACATTGCAAGCCGTATTTAGTTGGCCTTGAGTCACTTATCTATGGTTGTTTGTGTACGAAATCAACGAAGTTAACTCTAAGATATTATTTCGATAAAAATTGGAGCCGTGCGCGTCCATCTTCATGCTAAACTAAACAGAAACTTTGTTGTTTGCTTTACTGGTAGGATGCGAGGAGCCTGTGCAAGGAACAGTCAGCTAGCCTGCCCTCGATTGACACGCTGGCGGATCTGAGTTTCTTCCGAGCCTGGCTGCAAACACCGCGCTCTCTCGGTGGTGCTGGTTTCCCCTCTAACGCAGCTGTTTGGCTCGATCTCCGTGTACCCGCCTGCCCGCAGTGCTACTCGGTGTGTTTGCTCACCTAGTCATTCGAAGGATGGTGGAGGAGGTTGTAGATTGGATATCCCCTTGATTATCACCTCCTCCCCCTCCTCCATTAACTTGGTCACGCTAGGTGAATTTTGGTAGTCCTTTATTTCTAGTGGTCGGATGGCCAAATCGAGTTTTGGATGATTATCTACGATACGTGCAATATGAACCTCAAATGGGATCGGATTTATTTTCGCCTAGGTTATTTCGGAGAAGGTTTCGGCAGTTACTGTATTTAATCAACGTGACTTATTTCTTTAACTTGTGGTTTCCAGATAATTTCTTATTTCACTTATTCCCTTCTCTGTTATTGGTATTTGCTGTTTTCTTTGGAACCTGAATGACCATCGCGGATCTCAGACTAGCTCATTCGCTTTCGCCTTTCTCTCTTCCAGAATTGGCGTTGGCACGCAGGCGAGTGGGATGAGTCGCCAGTACGATTGACGGATTGGTTCAACGCGCCACCCGATCCGTCCGGATGCTACCTTTTCGGTGTTGCACCACCTGCACGCAATTCCACTATCGCCTCCCACCTTCGTTCCATTCGACCGGCGATCTCCTGCACCAACATCAGCCTCCCCGTGGTATGTCAAAGGAACTTGCGCCTGCCCTCCAATAGCATCGGGTTCGCTGTGAATCGGTGTGTGCGAAACCCCACTCCGGAGCTCTCTAACGTTACCGCCTTCCACACAAACCACAGCGTCGCCATATCCGGTCGCGCTTGCATCAGGTTGGTCTATTAATAAATCTGTCCGATTGAGTACTTCATTAAGAAACTCCTTTCTGCTATCCAGCCGTCTTGAACCTATCCGCTCGTTATCACTTCGTTCATTCTGGATCCAACTTGTGACTCATTGACTGAGTTGTATGGAAACTACCTCCCCATCATATTCCATCCCATCCACTGAACGATGGAGTCCAAGCAAATATTTTCGTTCACTCATTGTAGCCTTGCTTTACAGATGGGATTTGGTACAACACGACTTCAATCGCTCGGATGCGGTACTACCGCGAAACTGGCGCATCTTCACCGCAGAGATCGCGTATAGCGAGCACGCGAGCCCCTTCTGGGAGGAACACTGCGCTCACCTAGCCATACAAGATGCTGCAGGCAAGACGATCTACCGCTACGCTTGCTACACCTCCACGGATCCCGATAGCGGTCTAGAGGACTGTGACATGGACAGCTGCGTGACTAGTCTCATCCCCCTCGGTTGGATAATTTTCATCGCTCTGACCTGTCTTGCTCTGAGTGTGGGCATTACTTTGTGCGTGGTTCGAGTTTGGAATCGGCAACGCTTCTTCCTTCCCCGTGGTCGGTGGCTCTCTCCCATTAAAATGACGGCAAGTAGCTCCGTTTTTGGAGGTGCAGTGGCCGTTCATCGACAGCAATTTCAACAACACGGAGTCCTCTACAGCAACGGGGATGGCGATCCTGCCGCCCCTTATGTACGAATGTTCGATAACCCTGCTTCCCTCCCTCCGCTGCACTCACTTGTGCCTTCGCTGACCTTCAAACACAATGTCTACCGACCACTGCATGATCAGAACCCCCTACTACTGGACGAGCCCGACAACGCGGATGAGTTCACGGGGCCTGTATGAATGGCAGTGATCCTTTGTTACCGGCTGTGCCATCCCCATTCAGGCATTGAATAAGAGCCTCTCGATATTCTTTCTCTACTGTGACCCCTTCATCCTTTTTTGCCCATCTCCGAGCAAATGGTGAACCCAGAGGCGACGGCTCTTTTGTTAGTTACGCTCACCATGCCCCGTCCCTTGACTGTCCCCTTTTTACATGACCATAAATTTCTAGCTTATGATTGGTTATGCTGGAAGAGATTTTAAGGCACACAGTTACTAATGCAGTTAATTGTTTATGAAATGGTGAAAAAAAGTGGAGATGCCCGCAGACAGAATTGGATTTCGTTGGTCCATGTCAGGGGAGGTGAAAGCACTCTTCAATCCCTCCTAGTTCCATTTCCATGGGTAGAAGGAGTGTGTATCAAGACAAGAGCGATGCAATGCATATTTTCTGTACAAACACATTCACACATTACCGTTCATCGGAAGTACATTTGGTACTCGCATTGTAGTATTGTCACAAGGTAGAGAGGGAGAGACGGAGCGGATGAGGATTGCGTAGACAGGCAAAGGAGGGAGGATGGATTTCTGGTGCGTAATGAAAGCCCTTGTGTTCTTCTTGGGATTGAGATCGATTGTGTGTGGGTGGTTTTATCTTAGGGACGATGAAACCTACAAGGAGTGAGAGATAAATCAAGAGCACCAGTAGGCATGCTACTCATTCGCAGTGAGTAGTAGGCGTCTCACTCACCTTGTGAATTGTCTACTGTCCACATGGACGTCCATCTCCTTCGACTTAAACTCGTTCAACTCCTTCCTAATGTCAGCCTGTAAACGTAACGCAAGCATAGTTTAGTTTTGCTACTTTAACTGCTATGCTGTTACTGTGCTAAACTCCAAATCCGTCAGAGGTCCTTCAAAATCTCGCAGGAATCGACCTCCACAATGGCGGCATGTGGCTGTTGATGGCTAAAATTCTGGACGAGTGCAAACCGTCCGTAAGAAGAACCTGTTGACAGTTTCTACGAAAACCGGTGATTAATGAGTTCGATCCAAAGACTAAACAATATCATAGAGCTCCGAGATGGACACCATGGCAACATTTAAAAGCATTGCCTGATCACAAAAAGGTCTGCGGACGATGCGCTCAAGAGTGGGCTAGAGAAGTGTGGCATCTCTACCGGTTTCACCGCTTTCTTTTGCCACTTTCACATTTCTCGGATTTGAAACATCCTCAAGGGCCACTCGAGCGTCAAATTGTTCGACAATCTCTACGCCTTGCGGTTAATACGGCCACCTACCGAAGTTAAAGTGAGTTGATCGGACATTGGCATTGGATGACTGAATTTGCGGAGACCCCGGAATGGTAGACCTTAGAAAACCATTGACTTCAAATTGTTCAATGAAAGACGCATTTTCAAATCAGCGAACGATGAAAGTCACACCATAGGATCCACAATGTAACTCAGATCGCCTGACACATGGAACATCTACCCCTGAACGACTCGGTCGATGCGATTTGCTGAGAGTAATGACATATAACGCCCGTCAAACTTAATCAACAGTAGTACCACATCAAGAAAATAGGATCTCAACCGCACCAACGACTCATGATCAGGATGACCTTATCTCGTTGATTTGATTTTGAACGGTACCTCCTACTCTCAGGCGCGATATCCTCTCGAAATGCCGTTCTGTCTCCAAGGCTAACCACTCGTGAGGTATAAAATTTGACGTGCAAAACAAGACGAGGCAACGTAAGGTCAAAAAAACAACAAAGCCTAAGAGATAATCCAACCTTGTCCTTAGGCGTGAGACGAGTCCAGGGTTTGTCCGCGCGTCTGTCATAGGTCACAGCCTCGGTCACTTCAACATAGTCGTTAAAGCGAATAATCCGACGGTTCTTCAATTCCTCCACTGACGGTCGGAATGAGAGCTGGCAGTACAAACAAAAGAAACATAAAACAAACCAATCAAATCAGTGTTGGTGATTTTTGGTGGACAAAAAGCACTGGAGTGGGAGGGGCAGGAGAGGGGTAACGTAACACGGCCAAAATCTAGTTCTGTGGGGGAGGAGAGAGTACAAGTATGCCAGGAATGTGCATTCACACACTTGTTCACCTCCACGAATGCTATTAACGGCAGACCCCAACACAAAAGCAGAGTTGTGTTGGTGCCATTCGATAAGGAAATATATTAAATTGAAAAAGTCATTTGTATTCAAGCGCGATTGGGCTGCTGAAACATCTGAGAAGATAGTACACACTTTCCAACAATTCTCATGGCATAGCAGGATAAATTCACATGAAAGAGGGTCAAATAAGGCGAGATGAAAAGATGGAAGGAGTACAAATTGTCTTTACCCCTTACAGCATTTAACTAAAGCCTGCAAAGCACTTTTGGCTTCGAAAGATCTGCTAGTCAGACTAAATCATCCCAGCTTCGATGGCGGAGACTGTAAACGAGATTGCCACTAGCTTGGATACTTGGAATCAGGTGTCTTTGTACTGTTGGAACAATCAGAATCACATTGTACTTTGCCTGAAATCCTCCGGGGGGCGGATTTTGAGCATTGCTTGACAAGGCACGTTCTTAGTTATCAGGCATCGTTGCCTGCTGTCACCGCAATTAACAGCGGTTGGATGGCACTGAGCTAGCCAACGACATACGCAGTGACAAATCCGTGGGCACCATGTCAACATTCCGTTCTATCTGGGGCACAAAATCCCTGCTTTTCTTGAACATCCCTCGCAGTTCACCAATACTTGTAGCTGGTTATAGGTAAAATTTCCTCCCGCCTCAAATAGAGCAACGGGTTGGCACTTCCTCTGGGCTTCAATAACAAACCTTGAATGTAAGGCAACCGACAATTTCCCATGAAATCTTGGTAATAATTAAACTTAAAAGCAGAAAAGATCCTGAGAATAGCCAGCGTTACAATGTATCATTCCTTTACCAACTAGACAAAACAGGTGTGAATTTCAGCGTTAAATAAGCTTGCGTCTTTAGAAATAAAACAACCCAATCTCCGGCCGTCGCCGTCTCCATTTTCACCTCACTTTCATGTTCCAAATGTTTATGTGATCATGCGATTATCTAATGCCAAGAAAAAGTTCCCGTGGGTGCAATTCACCGCCTTATAGTGGCTTTCATTCACCTCCTCTTGCCGTTGCCAAACATGGCACGTAAAATCCCAATCTTTCAGAGTGACAGTGACATACCCATCTTCGATACTGTCGAGAATGGAACGTTTCCCTGAATGCGATGCACGTGTCTTTAAGTGATTTCACCTCTAAATGCCAAACACAACAAACCTGATGAGAGACTCTCGCAGCTCGTCAAGCAAACAGGCTCGAAGGTGGTTCAAAGTAAAAGCCAAACTGTACCGAACGCAATAAATGTCGCCGTACCGACGGGACCGAAGCACGGGTGTGTTTTAAAACTGCCGAGGATGGTCTACCACCTCATAAAGCAATCCTTTTTTATTTTTCCGGAAGCTTTCTTTCCTCGCGCCTAACTTCTAAACATTCTGGGGTATTTCCAAAACTCGTACTCTTGTGCTATTCCTTTGATAAAAGAGGGTTGCTACTTCTCATGCATCCGGTGTGACTGAAAACTACTGCACAGCCGAATGCCTTCATAAACGTGTGACCCGCATAGGCTACACTACATTTGGCTACTAACCAGCATTTTCACAAAAGTGAAGAGTTGGTTGATGCGTAAGTTATGACCAACATGAATAAAGACAGATTCTGCATTTGTGAGGGAGGTTTAAGTCAGCAAACTTTACCTTTCGTGAAAGGGTCTGCTTCTTTTCCTCCTTTTCCTTCATACGTGACTCCTCACTTCCCGCTATAAAAATAAAAAAATGCTTTGAATTTAACCAGGTTCACAGTTCGTTATGGTGTTTAAGAATGCTAACTCACAGTGGAGGATATTCTTCTGTTCCAGCTCTCCAGGCGTCGGTCTTTGACTCAACTGACGCTCCAGACTGACCTCAATCTTGGCTCTCAGCTCGGCGCGCATCTGTGGAGTGCGTCCGGAGAGAATATTCTTGGCCAGGAGATCCTGATGGCTAGGCCGACGCTCCAGAAAGCCTGCCAGGTAGAGCGCCCGCCGTTGCCACATTTGTGAATCGGCCCGGCGCAGGGAGGCAAGCTCTTCGGGGGTGTTTGGTGGGGTAGCGGCATTGGTATAATGGACACCGTCCACATCGTCTTCTCCCGCCTGTCTTGTTGACATTGCCTTTGCCGTTGTCACTGGCAACGGAGAAGGGCGCAGGCGATGGAGGGCGGAATCGAAGCGAGCGGAGAGTTCCGAGACCGTCCACAAAGCAGAAGAAGAGGAACGTGCAGAGACACCGGATTGCACATTATTTGTTGACGATGGTGGTGGTGAACTTCTTCGCATCCTGCAATTTCGATTTCACACGATAAATGCAGCTGTAAAGCGGACGAACGGGTGGTGTGGGTTCCCCAAGCATCGATTCGAGAAAGCCAAAATGGCTTCAATGGAGTGTCAACCGTGATCTGGCAACGATTATCAAAAGTCTTTTCACGGTGAAAGAAGATCATTTCATGCGGCTGATTCTGATCGGCCGCGTATACAATGCAGTAACAGGGCTCTGAAATGTCATATCCTCTCTTATTGTTTGGATCACTAAAGGAACGACTCAGAGGTATTTCCATGCAGGATATTCATAGGTACCGGCTAAACATATGTATATAATTGTAGCAGGGGAATGAGTAGGAAAATTCGTGAGGGCTTCATCTATTGAAATGTGTTTTTTCCATCTATAAAAAGGCTCAAGCAACCCTCATACTGCTTGTGGAGAGAGTGGAAAGTGAACTATCCGAAAACAACCCGATACGTCGCCTTCTGAATCTAATAGTAGCCTAGTTCTGCTACTCTTCTGCCTTACAACACCTTCAGGAGTGACTCACGCGAGTCGGGTCTTCAATTCGGAGGCCAAGGCGTCAGCAGCGGTAGTAGCAGAGATGGATGTGGTGAGAGTAGTGGGACTTTCGTCGGTAGGAGAGGTTCGATAGTTGTTGTTATTATTAACAAGAGTTGGAGTTTTGGAAAGCGGTACGGTAGAGGACAAATCACCGGGAGATTGAGCGCAGACAAAAGCACTTCCGTTGGACAATCGATTCTGTCCACTTGGCGATGTTGACGGTGGTGTGGAAGCAAGTGTCTCTGAAGGGTGAGAGAGCATAGGAAATACACAAATATGCAAGCAATTAGCAATATCGAAGGGGGACAATTGTGTGGATAAAAGATGGCATTTTGCCAGGCAGCAAGGATCATCCTATCACCGCGTAAAAATGCCAATTCTATTACGGCAACTTTCATCTCGTCTTCCGCTTTCCTCCCAGCTCAGCGTCTACGTGGATCAAATCCATTTTTAGGACCAAAAAACAGCCATTAATCTTCTGCTGTCAATTCACCTCATCACTCACAAATTCACCCGTTGTTCCCTCTCAAGACCCTTTACCTACTTTACAAGCATTTCTAAAGTGTTTTGAGTGTTCCGATATCGTTGATCCCACCTCAGACCTCTCTGCCCGCCCCATTCGGTTAATTTGCAACACCTTTTCAAGCTAGCCACATTTTTAAAACAACCTGGGTCAGATCAAAGTTAAAAAGCAACGTCTATCCGAATAATAATCCCTACTGCCCCCCTAAAATCCCAATTAAACAGACCGACTGTCCTTTCCACCGACCTTGAAGTGAAGCAAGGGGGAGGAAATAATTACCAAATCGAGGCATAAAATGAAGTGCACTTGGAATGGCAACGGAAGTGGGTCCAATAAAACTTTTCCCACTTCAGATGAACTTAACTGAGGGAAGCGAAAAGCTTAACTACTTATGATTACATTCACTTCGCTACCACCGATGACCCAATTTTCTGCATACCTGATTGTGTCGCCATAAAGGTGTAATGTCTTTGTGTACTGCTCGTTTTTTTCTTCAAAAATACAGTAACCGCTTAAACCAAGTCGGTGACACCAACAGATTGATTGGGTCTTACGGAAAAATAGGCGTAGAATGCGCTTGGTCCAAAGATAATTACACTTTTTCAGTCCTCGGGGAGCAACCGAATCACTCACAGCGTGATCTACTTTCCCCAGAGACCTTGATAGCAAAGGTGTTAACAATAAGAAATGTCTGGAAGAAATGAAGGAGTCATTATGTCCATCACTTTTCATGTCTTGAAATGGCCCAGGTAAGAACCAAGTCGAAGGAAGCAAAAAATTCCAAATCTACTTTAACTTTGCGCTTGAGTATTTAGCGATACCTTATATCCTTAAGTAGTCGGAAGGACTAAAGTCCAGATGTTTAAAAAAATATATTTTTTGGAAAAAGTGGTTGTGCGCATGCTATGAGTGGTGTGCCAATCCCTTGCTCAAACACTAATGGTATGGGGTGCTGTTACATTGTAGCGAAATACTCTTTGCTACTTCGGGGTTCCATAGTTTGGGTCCCCAAATAAATCTACTCGAACTCGGAAGTCCTCTCGTGCAACGGCATAGGGTGATGAATGAAGTTTCCTGCCCACAAAGACGTACAACCCACGACTTCAAACACAGGACAGTCACAGTGGGATAATCGAACGACGCCGGTGTTTCAAAGACGGCCGGCCGCCCGGCCAGCCAACCGTCCACCTATCAATGATGGTCACGATCGTGGCGATTTCGCCTTTACCTTGGCAGGCCCTTCTGTAAACATTCAATCAGTACACAACACCCCTGTCGGATTCAATAATCACTTGGGTGGTGTGAAGCAAAATGGAATAATAGGCGACAAATTTTCCTGTGGCAACGGAGAACAAAACATGCTAACCAACGCAAATTTGCTAATTTCAAAAGGTTACCAAACGCTACTGAGGTGAGACAACCCATTTTGGGTGGTGTAAATGCGACAGAAAAAGGTCATTTGAAAAGGACAAACAGATGTGCCCACTCCTAGTCCAGATCTGTTACTGGTGTTCCAACCTCTCTACACACGCACACAACAGTCTCGAAGGCCGCGTATCGTCTCAGAGGTAACTTGAGTAATTACAGTATCATTGCTGAGTAAGAAATGGGGCTTAAACTGGAAAGATAGTATTTAATTTAATGAAAATACGTTATCATCAGAAAGATTGCAAACCTTTGTACTCCATACCTCAATCTAGGAGTCCCAATTTCTTCAAAAAAATGGATAAAAATGTCATATCTATTCAAGACTTGCATTGTTTACACTCAGTGTAAACAAAGTTTGTTCCGTTTTGACAGGGACAGTGGATCGGTGATTGATCGAAAATGGAGTAAAGATGAAGGCAAGGCTTGAATACATCGCGATGTTCCTTAAAACGACACCGCCAGAGTGCCTGTCATTCGAAAGCATGCGGCAGTTTTATTCCTTCCTTTTCCCTCCCTCTCTCTCCCATACACATAAACATCGGAGCCTTCCCATTACCTATCCCGTCTCCTATCTTCCCCCCTCACCTTTCCTCCTACATAAATCATGGCATGGACGGACGTGAACGAAGATGATGGTACTGCGTATGATAGAGCGTTATCGATGGATAACACCAAGCTGATGGGTGGGGATTTGGTGATCACAGAAAATAACTCCGAAAGACGCCGCTTCATGCGTATACCTCCATCATGCAAATTCATCACTACCTGAAACATCCTTCAGACCGGCGCAGATAGTCATAAATCTCGCCATCTGTACTAATTCAAATACAAATCAGCATTAGTCAACGTCTAATTTGCCTCACCTCATTGTACTAAACAGTTGGTACCACTCCTGAACGACGACCAATGCGATGTTTGATGCTTGAGACCAATTGGTACAACCTCATTTGGACCCAGGAAAGAAAATGTAGGATAACAAAGGCGTTAGTGCAGAAGGTACATTTACTACTAAATGGAAGAGCCGGAAGAAAACAGGACGACTCGGAGAGAGAGGCCTCATTCCAAACTAGCGACTCAAATGCTCGGCTCAGCCGTCTACTCATGATATTACCACGTCTATTTGGAGTAAAAACTGCCGTAAGGACAATCACATGGATGAGACACTAAAAAACCGGCAAGTAAGGCGTAAAAGGTAAAAGCATCTCCTCAAATTCAGTCGTTCTAATTGCTTTCGAAAAAACAGGCTCCGTTAATCACAACAGAAAGGGAAAGAATTTTACATTGGTAGTTATTATTCACCAGAGAATCCAAGCAAAATAACCAAAAGGTGGACCGGAAAAGCGAAGCGAGAATCCAAATGTTTGCAGGTACCTCGAGGAAAAAGATTTGAGTACCTGAGAATTGAGTTAAATAATTAAAGGGAGGAAAAACACTTAACACTAAATCAGCACATTGACACGAGTTATTACCACTATTTCACTAGCTTCCGCCAATCGGTCGTCACGTTGATGACACGCAGATCCCCTGCTCCTCTTCCAACTCTTCTAAACGTGCGGTTTAAATGTCTCCAAGGGTAATTTTCGAATTCCAGTGCTAAGCCAACCCCGTTGAAGTGAAGACACCTTTCAGAAACGGCTGACAGCGGAACGCTCAGCAAAGTAACGCAGGCTCTTGGAATTAACTCTAAGCTCATGGGCTGCAGTGGATAAGGCCGGAATTGAACGGACAAAAAACTATTTGTAAGATTGCTATAAAACAGTGATTTATGAGCATATCTCACGTGAACAAAAACATTCACGAAGTTTTTTCGCACAGCTCGCCACAATGACTTGCTACTTGTGCGCACTTAAAAGTGAATGGGACTATTTCAAACAAAAAGAGGGCTTGAAAGCACAGATCTCCTTCAACCTGCCCATCCTTTACCCTTTATTGTGTTCTGTACAGCTTTTCCCCTATTTTAAACTTTTTTCAGGCGGATGTGATTCCAGCTTGTCGACCTGATGAGCTGAATCTACCTCGGTTCTAAAGCTGCATTTATAATAAGTACAATGGGCGATGACTGAAGGTACTGACCCGTATTAAATGATTTCATTCTGGTAGCGAATCACTGGAAGGCAGGTGCATCACATTGTGAAAGATTCTCTACTCCTGGGCCTAGTAATGAATGGCGTGCCACTATTAAGCCAAGTGATTAGAGATTGATGTGTACTATGAAACAGTTGATTGACGTCTACAGTGAGTGGAAAGTATAGAAGTCATAGAACTACTAAACATCAGATAACAAAAGAGAATGAGCTTAAGCAATTATAAGCTTTATCAGGCGTTGTTTACGTCTGTCATGTGCGTTACACAAAAAAAGTGCCATGAACTTTAGAGATGATGCTGATTGATTGGCCATGTATGAAAATAGCCTTATAGTGCTAAAGTTCATTAAGCAAACGAATATAATAATAGTTGTATCTTTAAATCACGTACAACTTTGCCTCTACGAGACTATGAATGAAATTGATCAACTCGGTAAGATACAACCCAAGGGTGTTCAAGGTGGACCCATCCTTCTGAAATGACCTATACTAGTGATTCGGTCGGTAGAGCATCATATTCTTTCACGACAAAACATATCAACGAGACTATTGAAATTGGGGGGAAAGAATGTTTTATTCACAACTTTTTCCACACGTGATAATTACCACTTCTTAGCATTCGACAATCACATATAAAATCGGTAGCTGAGAAAATGATTAGCGACGTGTTTTGTTTACAGAAGCCAAATATCAAATAAAAGTGCAATTCGTAGATTTCTGCCTTGTTATGCCGGAATGATATATTTTGATGGCAATAGTTACAATGAAGACTCCTGCAGTGATCTGAAATCCATTAGAAAAGCACAAAAATGACATGTGGAAGGGGATCAAGATAAAGCTCCAGCGTGGTACTCCAGCTCATGAGTCCTATAAAGGGGTTTTGCTTTTAGTGCCAGGAGAGCACTTTGAGAGCGTGACAAGTATAACACAACCATCACTCAATTCAGAAGTCATCTTAACAACGATAGACATTCGTAGGAACCCAGAAAAGTAATCAGCGAGAGTGTTGAGGGCAACACGCAAGACAAATAATGTTTTTGATCCACACGCTTTCAAATACCCTGAAGTGTCTCCAGGTGCACATTGGAACGCCAAAGAGCAGGCGAAAAGCAGAGCGACGAAGAAGAGCGGTAGTTGACATTTGGCTTACGACGGCAAAGATGGGTTCACTCGGTCAGGGGCGACGCCTTCAAGTGACGCGGACAGCAGTCGAGCGTTCGCACGCAGCATAAATATGCATGGCACAGACGATGCCAGGGCGTCATGAAAAGGGGACATTCTGAAAAAAAGTGTTGCACAGAACGCCTACACACGCACTCACACACCCTCCCAGACACACTTACGCACTCACGCACGAGTGACAAATCTTAAAAGTGCACAAAAGTAAACTTCAAAAACCGAAAATATCCGTTTACATTCCTTAAACCAACAATGATCCAATGTGAGGCAAAATTGACGTGTTAAAGAACTTAATTCATCCGTAAAATTACGAATATATGGGCAGAGTTAACACCAACTAGGGACTTCTGAAATTGGAGCTAACATTAAAACGGGATGCAACTGTGGAGATGGCACACGCATTTGCAATTCAACCCCACTGCTACTCGTAATGACTGGCGCACACACTCTAGGTCGGTCCAGTCCAGACACCGCTCATCACGATGAATAGACAGCAGTGTCAGTGGCAGTGTGCAAATGCAACAGCTTACAGAGATTAACGAATTCGCACACTCTGAGCCCGTGGGTACTTAGTTCCATAGAAGAATTCAAGTATAGTACGGTATGGTGATGGAACATTCGGTTGCAGTGAGACATTTAAGTGGTGTCGATACCTTGAAGCCATTCCTGTGAAGGGAAAATCGGCCAGTGCATGAAGCGCCTAGTGGAAGCACGATCACATGCTGACGAGATTGCACAAAAAACGTGAGAACATTCACAATTTTGAAAGATCAGCTTATGGTGGGTACCAAGATGGCCTTTGGCTTTTAAACGGCCCCAGTGATGCAATGAAGCAGGATATTCTAGTAGGTCATTACCGCAAATCTTTCTGTGTTGAAACTGCTTTGCAGGAATTAATTAAACACCTTAATGAGTGAATAAATTCGACAAAATAAAACCGATTGGAGGAATAAAAGCAGTTTGCCTTACTTCAAAGGTGTTTTTTCTCCCTTTTATGCTACTAAATCTGAGGTTGTGATTTGACTTAACCGCCTAGAGCATTCACAAGACTAAACTATCAGTCAGAAAATTAGTAAACCGAGATAAAATTGCACATAAGTAGAAAATCTGAAGGGGCCATGCAGATGATATTTATTAAATCGAAAAACTAGCCAGAAACTAGTTTACAAGTCTAAAAGTAGAAGGTAAGCAGAGCAAAGGTAAAACCCTCTTACCCGGAGCAATGAGATGCGAACAACTGAGAAAGAGAAGATGAAGACATGAACTCTAGCACCTGCAGACTTGCATAAATTATCTCTAGTCGGATCACAACAGAATATCGCAATGCAAATTCGATGGTAAGAAATCAAAATACGTCACCGTGAGTAACCTGAACATACCCACTAAATCTACTCTTTTCCGATTTCCCCAGTATTACTGGGTACATGGTACTAGCTGGATATTGGAATCAGTGGGAGGTTAGTCATCGAGAGACCATCCAAATTAAAGGTCTCTTTCGCCTCTTTTTAATGCCAGAAAAGGCCTTTGCGCAAATGCCCGTCAATGATGACAAATCGGTGCGAAATATGCGCCCTTAGCGACACACGCACATGTATTACCAATTAAAATCGGTCCACTTAAGGACGCCAAAGTCCGGCTATGCCCTGTAGGTAGGGAAGGAATGAGTACTTAATCTAAAGTGTTTTCTGGAATACCTGTGTTGTGGAGAGAGGAAAAGGCACGCATATGCGCGCGTATTTGCATGAGGTGAGATGGATATGTGGGCTACTAGAACGATGATATATGCGTCTGAACACGATTTGTGTGGTCAAAAGTAATAGTAACAAATAAGAGGTTTTATCGGCATAAAAGCGATCAATAAGGTGCGGACACGTACCACCAATTGTAGAGACTGAACCCGGGTCAGCATGAAACGGCAAGTGACCAATCCGACACCGGTGCGAGACGGAAGCATATCCGGAAATCATCTCGTCAGTCTTATTAGTGGTTTTTAGGATTGGGAAAGCTATATAAAGGTCATAAATAAGTCTATTAACTCCAAATGACACATCTAATTTGGTCTATGATGAGTTGAGTGAATTATTATGTTCTTAATTACTTCAGTATCGCCTAATAGAGCACGATAGACTGTTAGAAAATATAGTTTAAAAATAAAATAGTGCGGAATGAGGGGACCTACTTGTAAGCTGACAACTACCGACAAGACCAATAGAGCTAGAGGTATTGGGTGAATCAGGGCCACCGAGGGGTAGGCAAAGAGGTCTACATCCCGAATTGCATTCTAGTCAAAACAATAAGCCAACTTTAATCATGAAGAAGTGCACTTTTCAAGATGCAAAAATTAATAAAATTCAAGGACAGAAATTCGTATCCGAACAAGCCAAGTAGATGTCAACTAATAAGCCTTACCATCAAGAGGAGAATCCGAGACCAAATGTTCGGACTCATTATACTCATAGCGAGTGTTGGCATTAACAATTGAAATACTGGAGCCATCAAGGTGCTTTTTGGCATCGGGTTTAGGGGATTGGAGTTTTTTGACCCACCCCAAATTGCGAAATTGTCGGAATAATTTGTTCACACCTTTCTTCGAGGGATTCTGGAGCTGTTTACCCAATGATTCGGCAGGAATAGAGGTAACAACCTGTTCCATTAATTTTATGGGCTCTTCTCGGAACACTTGTAGCAAATCAATGATTACGTTTTTAGTGATATGAGAGGCGATTCAAAACATGCGCGACTACTAGACTAACGTACAGGCAACCAACAAAATTTAAAAACTAGCAGACAAGGGTATACAATCAAACAAATTTATATCGTATAAAAATATTTGTTGTTTAGATAAAGTTAATTTTATGAAAATAGGGCCTTATTTGCAATTTGACTAAAATACGTTATTAACTAGGGGATACGAACAAGAATCTACAGTGGTTGATATATCGGGAAAATTTAGTGCAAAAACTAGCTCAAGTCATCCTAGCGTGGTACACATCTTAAAGTTAAAAGACTTTAGCAGTGCCTTCATATCCATTTGTTTTTTCATTATTTCCTTATTGGCTACTTTCCAGGATGAAAATTTGCATGCGACGGAGCTACACTTGGATTTTTTGAATGTCTTGGTATTCGTGCAGCTTCCCTCAAATTATAAGGCAATGTTAAGCAGCTATTATAAATAACACAAATTTGTGGTAGCTAGTTTTGGAAGATTTACTCATAATCACAACACCTGTTACAACCTAAAGCTTTCTAAGCCTTTTGTTTGATGCAGTGGTCGATCTTACCAACCGCAAACCCACGGAGGCACTGGACTGCTGCAAAAATAGTTTGTTATACCTGGTATGACTCCAGGAGCTAACGATTTAGCTCTCGTTACACTCCTTGCTCTCATCTAAACTTAGTTTCCTAGCCGCTTATTCCATGTTGCATGTGATGTCTAGCATTCGGAAGAAGATCATCTGAAAAATACGATGGTATGGGAGTGAGGAATCATCTCTCCCCTGAGTATGATGGCGCAGCTTCATGCGCCTATCAAGCGCTTTCGAGCACTACCTTTTCCTGCTAGTATTACTACTCTAAATATCATTCAACAAATTTGTCAAAAAACTCCTGCCGCTTAGCCAGTCAAGCAGACAGCTCAATGCACGCCCATTAGCCTCAGCTAACTTTTCCTTGTATGGTGGTCCAAGACGAGACAAAAGTCGTATAAAGCATAACGAAAATTTGTACACTACATTTGTTTGCAAACACAGACAAGTTACGTGTTAGTAGAGATAAATCGCAAATCGTACGGTCTACCTTGATTGCCTGGTTAACCGATCATATTATTTGTGGTTTTGTTCCCTCGATTAATCAAGATGAAAATATCCCCTCAATTTTGTCTCTTTAAGTAGCGCCTACTTAGTAATGAGAGGCCCCTTACTGTGTAGAGGATCAGCTCATACAGAAACGGATCAACAATCATGGGACAGTTCAAGATTCCCTTTTCCTGGAGAGAGGATGCGTCTGCAGAGGCAGGACGATCCCAGGATGTCCTTACGTGTATATTACACAGCACTCGGTTAAACCAAGAGATTATCACCCAAAAGTTTGTGAATAAATACGCCTTGTCTCCTATTGTAAGAAGTGGACAAGCAAATCATAACTACATCCCCAATTTTAGAAATCGACGAAATATGTGCCGAAAAAATCCTAAGCCCCTATTCTAACGTATTTATCACCACTAACCTAAGCTATGCACTATTTTTCAAGTGGTCTACCAAAGAGAGGGTTACCCTACCTACCCTCTTAGCATGCATAATATTTGGACTAGTATCAGGCGGCTTCGTCTGCAGTACCAGCATCACCCTTGCGCACGCAGAGGTTTTGCGAGGTCATTCTCGAGCATGAGTATTCTCAACAAGGGTATAACCCGAGTCGATTACCGAAGGACTATAATACCAGTACAAAATTTATTAAACTTCTAATGAAATGCACAAAAAATCCACTTCACACTACTTTCCTCTTCTGACCCAAAATTTTCTTCCGTTGAGCTAACATATGACCATACATAACTGGACTCCCTATTAAATTTTGTGAGAAAAAATTGAAGGATTTATTACCTGGGACATAGAGCAACAAGAAAATGAGGTAAAGCTCATATGTGCCGAACCCGAAGTTGAGAATGTTGGGAAGTGGAAAATTTATCCAGGGTTTGGGAGCCGCATAGGACAGCGAATACCACATGAGCGCTATCTCGCCCTAAGATTAAAAAATTGCATAATAAGACAAGATCTTACAGTGATGCCAGTTGGGTAAAGCACCAGAAAGAGGCTATATCTGAGAATAGTAAGTAGTCGTGGTACCGCCGTGAACGTACTGAGAAAGTAGTAGAGATACCGAGTAAAATCCGCCAAACACCAAGAAACAAACATCATTTTCTTGAAGTTCACATGCACACTAACCTAAATACAGTTTCCAATGGAACAAATGAACACAAACCTCAGGATACATGTACAGAACCCCCCAGAGAATAAGCAGACGGGAAGATATTTGAATTGCAGTAGTCATGGGTGCAGACCTAACAAATCTCAGACAGGCATGAAAAACCTAGCAATTTCAATTTCGGATACGCAAAACCTACTTCCAAAATTGCCAAAGTTTGAAAGATTTGTAGTACCTGCTCACAACTATATTTCATTGCCGCATTTTGCGGTGCGACAGCTAAACAGAGGCCAAAGCCCCAACTGGAAAAATAAAAGCAAATATGTAAAACAAACCCTAACAACTGAACAAAGTTGTAAGCCGCCAAGTACGCAGAGACGGAACTCGACATTCCAAAACCTCACCGTCAGACTAGGCGCGGTGACTATAGTCACTGACCTAACCCAAAGTACCACAATGATTGTAGAAGTACTTGATTGCTTAAAACGAAGGACTTGATGACTGATTTCAAATTTTAACGATTGAAGCATACTTTTCGAATGATTTTGACGACGGAAAATCCTGTCTGTTTGATCTTTGACTTTCGCATTTATTACCAAAATAGTTTTATTACTTTAGTCTCCTTCATTTACACCGCAAAAAACTTGTATGTATTAAAAAACAATCTTAGGTCCTCGTCACTGTATCTTTGTAAGGTATGTTGGCCTAGGACTATGCCAATAGCCCCTAGCCCTCCTGTATGTTGAATTAATATATTCTGCCAAGTATTATCCATCCCTTCGCCTTATATGTAGTCTTTCTGGTAATGAAAAGCAAGATTTATTGTAAAGACGTCCATTAGGATTTTTACCTCTGGGTGTAGCGTTCCGAGACTCCCTAAAGACGAAAGAAGACGCAATACTCGGACAGAATTTATATTCAGCGTAGAGAAGGTGTCTGGGCTATTGGCATGGCCCAAAAGGCCAGCCCACCCAGCGAGGTACAAGGAGACTAATTCAAGGTACAAAAGTGGAGCCTCACCAATGCCGAGGGATAAACCACTATCCTATTACACTGGGTACTATACCCTAGTACGGCGGAGGAAAAGCACTAGCTGAACTGAACGATGCGGTGATGATCCATTTAAAAAACTGAAAATGGCGTCCACTATTGTCAACTACGCCAGTCGTTTGTTTTGTAAGAATGCTATTAGTCAAAGAAACAACGTCAGACAACGATTATCTTGAAAACACCGTTACCATCTGCCTACCGTACCTACACAAAAAATATAAATTAAGCGAACAAGCTATATTGCCTCCATTTTTCTACTGGCTAAATTAACTTCACATTGATAGGGCTATATAGTTCCGAAGTAAGAACAAAGTAGAGAGGAGGAAAAGGCGCGGAAGCCTACCCCGTGGAATGGTGTTAAATCCCATTCTCCCCTACAAAAAATGTGAACAAGAGCAAAAGCCAGCACATTTCCCTATCCCCTAAATCCAGTTTTGAAACCGGTGAGTTCTTCTGATCTGGTTGATATGCCAAGAGGAATCAGTAACGCCGTAGTGAATTGTCTTCTCAGTTGCATGGAAATCCATGGACTGGCATGACTGGTTCGTGGGTGCTTATCTTACTACGCCGACCACGTTGTGACGGCTGATGCGTAAAGTTGACCAAAAAAGCACCAAAGGACTTTACTTAAGAAATGAGATGGGTTACGCAACACGTTTTTCGTTTCTTTAACTCTCCGTTCCGGAAAAGATTAATCTTATATCTCCGATAACGTATATTCACCAGATATTCTAATTTTTTGGACAGTGTCACTATCTTTAAGCCCTAATATTTATTCGTTTTTATAATATGTCATATTTTGTCTGCAGGAAAGCTTTGAGTTGCTACCTTAGTCAAAGTGAAATACTAATCCCTTCGCAGCATTAAACTATTAGTTTTTAAGTATTTATTTTCTGCACATTTTCAGACACTAAAATTTCTCAGGTGCAAGAATTTAGTCATTGAAAGGCATAAAATTATGCATGCGAACATTAAGAAAACGTATGCTGTTTAAAACATTAAACAATGCAGACTGAGGCAGCAATTTTCTACCTGTGTCGTGTTTCGCAGGCAATCTAAGACCAGAAGATATTATCTTTTTATCAGTTAGTAATACACTAAGTTCCTTATAAAACTCAATTTAAACCCGAGGCTTCAATGTCCTAGACTGCTGATTGCATATTTTCGAACTAAACTAGCATAAACTTACGTTTATAGTCGCGCTGATTGTCTTTCGACAGCTTATAAGTCATTCATATTTTAGTAAAAGCGTCAAAAGCTTTGGTGTTACGCAAATTCACATTATGCTGCTGCATTTGTTTCTATGAGCGAGAGACTGTTTTCGTGATTTGAACGGGTGTACTGGTTTGCCGTTACAGGGATTTTGTTTACCGTCGTGTTTTGTGAATAATCGTTAGAATCTTTTGCCACTTTCCCCATGATTCACACCTGTCTGCTATTTGCTTCATACGGTTTTGTTTTTTGTCCTCTCCTCGCTTACTATCGTTAACGTCAGTGTCATATTGCCTTGCCATTAATGTGCAGCCAAAATCACCTATTACGAGTATTTTCTAGTAGATTCACCTGTTATGTGCCCACCACTTTGGTACTACATTGTGTCATCGATTTTACTACCTAGTTCTTTCAGTGTGAGCTGAATTTACCCTTATGCTCTTTCCGTGCAGGCGGAACTTCCCCCACTTCAGTTACCCGCTGGCACATATAACCCTGTGAATAAGCGCGTTATATACGTTGGTAAGTTAAGCTTCAATTTTCATCAAGCTCTCGTTTATTAATCAACATTTCATATTTGTTCGAACACTTGGTTTAAACACTAAATCAAAATTTATTAGTAAACGGCTTTTATATCTGGATATTTTTATTAGTTCTGTAGTCTTGCTTCTTAGCAGTTCCTGCCGAGCAAAAGTTGTGCCATAGCTTTTTGGCTGGACTTTCGTCTTCCCAACCACCTTTTTGTTTTCCTTTCATCGATATATTTTAGGTGGTCTAGCAGAAGAGGTTGATAAGGAGTTATTAAAGGCGGCCTTCATTCCCTTTGGTGATATCATTGATATCAACATGCCTCTCGATTATCAAACAGGTAAGGAAAAGATTTCTTACTTACGACTCCTTCCTCCCCCTCCTCCATTCTCTAGAAAAACATCGCGGATTTGCATTTATCGAATACGAAGAGGCTGAGGATGCTATTGCTGCAATTGACAACATGGTAGTTTTTCATGGCTTACTATCATAGCGCGTTGGAAAGATTACTACTTATGTTTATGTTTCCTCAGAATGAAGGCGAAATTTTCGGTAGAACGATTCGTGTCAACGTTGCTCGTCCGGTTCGTATCCGTGAAGGCTATGGCAAAGCCGGTGAGTTAGTAATTTACTTAATTTTTATTACACATGCATCTGTAGTATTAGTTGCTCAAATAAATTAAGTAGAACTTATTGTACTCGTGAAAAATCATTTTTCCAGTTTGGTCGGACGACAATTGGCTCAAAAAGTACGGAGGGTTGGGTGTTGAAGGCTCGAAACCGGACCAATCGGTTGTTGTTCAACCTGGCGATCCGTCTTTGGAGACTGTTTCCAATGTGGTTAGTCCTTGTCTTTTTTGTTTTTCGTCAACTGATTTTCCTGCTTCGTTCTGCATAACGCAACAACACTTTTTTATAAATAATCAAAAAGCCCTATTTGCTTTAACAGAGTAAATGATTATGGGCTACAAATAATCACTATTAGACCTGTTGAGCTCTAACTTCGTTTTATCAATCTTGCCATCTTTAATCTATTCATGCAACTAGACGAGCTTTCCATCTCTGGCTTTTGGCGTCATTTCAATGTTCTCCTCAAATTCTGGAGCTAAGATTCACACTTTCTTAAGCACAATATTTTACTTTCATGTAGAATGTGTACTTGCAAGCGATGAAACACGAGGTCTTGAAATTTATGTAGAAACCTTGATCCAATGAAATAAAGGGTCATTAGGCCAACATTGAAGTATCTCTAGTCAAAAATTGAACTAACTTTCTAAAAACCTAATATCAGCCTACGCAAGGTAGTATTTTAGTAAAAAAGTCCCACTATAGCTACTATGTCTACTGTCATTCCAGCATTCGCCCATCCAATCCGTATCATCGGTCCGATTTAATTAAGGATTTTTACCTCTTATTCGAGTAAAGAATTTTCTGGTGATACACAAAATTACTGAATAGAAATCCACACGAAGAAATTCTGAGGAAATTTGGGCGGTTGGTAGATTCCTCCTCCTATTGTGTCCCCTTTTCTGAATCCTCGGCAAACCTTTCTTCAAGGCGCTATTGCATGGTGTCGTTTGTGGAAAATTTCTTTCGTTCTTTTTGAGGGAGGCGGGTCCATCCATCATTTTTGCATCCACTCATTTGTGGCGTATTCATTCATTTCGGACATGTTCATCCACCCATCCATCTAAGACCCTTTAATCCTTTCTGGGTCTATGCACTCATTCACTTTTGGTCTATCTATCCGTCTGCTTTCGAAATGCTTGCTATTTCGCTTTCATCCATTCACTCTATTTGTAAACGGTTCGTTAAATATTTTTTAAATGACTTTCGCCCTGTAGGAGGCTGATAACGATGGTGAAGGTGACGCCAAGCGGGCCAAGGTGGCTCTGCCCCGCGTCTTCTTAGACATTCGCATCGGAGACAGCGATGTGGGTCGCATCGTGGTGGAGTTGCGCAAAGACGTGGTGCCGCGCACTGCTGAAAATTTTCGGGCTCTTTGCACGGGTGAACGCGGCTTCGGGTACCGCAACTCCGTCTTTCATCGTATAATACCTCAATTCATGTGTCAGGGTGGTGATTTTACCCGGGGTGATGGTACTGGTGGCAAATCCATCTATGGTCGTAAATTCGATGATGAGAACTTCCAGCTTCGACACGATGCCCCTGGTGAGTGGAGTGTATCCCCTGAATGTTTTTTCCACTATAATTATGGATGTGAATCGGAGCTAGTAGGTCGTTAGCCATTATGGATGCCGAATCATGTCATTCCACTTTATAATCTCTTGTCTTATGGGTGTCTTTCTCGGTGCCCTCGAGCAATACAACTGTTTGTGTGAATTAATGTCTAACACAAGACAGAAATGATTATTGGAGGATTACTTTCGATCAGACTGAGAAAAAAATTGGGATGTATTGAAGGCTTTAATTAATAGCTTTTGCCGTTAGGTCTGGACAATTTTTCTTCAGCAAGTGTACCCCTTGTGCCAATCTCTACTGTCTTTTTCCGCTTTCTCGCTTCATTGAAAGTCACTCATTTGATTTTTGTAGACGATTGTTTAAACCGGGTCATTATTTGTTTAAACGTAGCCTTCCTTTATTACAGTTTATCGTAGATGAACTGGGATTTAATGTGACTTTGAAAAGTTGATGTGTTATGACGCTCGGGTACCTGCGAAAGATGGCTTCTTTCTATGAAATTTGACATAGCAATCAGTCAAAATATGCAGTTTTGGTGGTTCTTTTGGGGCAGACTTGCCCGTCTTCTCCCCAATCGACCCTCTGAGAAGTTTGTAGATGCTCACAATTCGTTGGAATGGTAGTGTCTTGGCTATAGATCACCACTGTGAAGGCTGTATTCCAAGAGGAACTGAAACAGTCCTATCAATCGTTTACAATTTCAATTGTTAACAGAAATTATTGTTTGTGTCCTGTCAGGTATTCTCTCGATGGCCAACTCCGGTCCGAACACCAATGGCTCCCAATTTTTTATCTGTACAGAGCCTTGTGATTGGTGAGGCTAATTTTCCCTCCTTGGAAGACAACTTGTCTCCACTGGCATATTATTTCAATTTCCTTTCATCCCTTAAGGCTCGATGGTAAACATGTTGTTTTCGGCCGTGTAGTGGAGGGAATGAGCGTGGTCAAACGGATTGAGGTAGGTCAGCATATCACATTGATGTGGTGCAATTTGGTCCAATTTAAATTTGATCCCTTTCCTTTCACTAGGCAACTGGAACGAAATCGGGCACCCCAAAGGAACCCGTTCTTATCACGTATTGTGGTGAATTGGTGTAGATTCTTGGGGGGAAATCGACACCTTTGCCATTAAATCGTCACCTTTCTGAAACGATAATGCTAAGCTGTACATTTAAAATGAGACGAGGCAAAAGTGTATTGTATAAGTGTCCCGCGGCCTTGTCTTTTTGTTTCAACTGACGAATGTAGTCAATAAAATCGCGGATGCGGATGGCAAATGAATGTATGGAAGTGAGCTCTAAGCCTTGAAGCTTTGGATTTATAATCTAAACGGGTAGTCTCCTAGCGAGCCACATCAGTATGGGAAAATTTAGACAGCTAGTTGATATTTCGAACCATCGGCAGTTGTGGAGGGTTTATGGGGTCCCAACCTAGCACTGCCAGAGTAAACAGCAGGTGATGGAAAGAATTCCTCTTTTTTTGGTATGAGGCAAGGATGTGTGTAGACCAACCCATTCTCACTTTTGTGCTGTATGCTGTTTCCTTGTCTTGAGGGACATTAGCGAAGTATTTAATGAATCTGGCGAAATTGACTCCAGCTTGTCTGCCTGTCGATCCTAGTTTAATCAGGCTGCACACCTGCTGAAACCTTCCATCAACTTAAACAAGTAAATTCTAGTGATGAAGACTGGTCTCCTTTCCTAGGCGATTATTTATTAGAACTGTGGATTATAAATTCCCCCAAGGTTGAAACATTTTTGTTCCCTCTGGGTAGGAATGTCCATAGAAATCAGCTTTCAGCAGCAGGTTATGGGATTTGGAGAAGGCATTAAAGAGCATTACCCACCCAGATCTGAGTCTTTCCTGGAAGTTGAGGCGATATCCTTAAGCAGAAGTGTAACCTGGAGGCACGGACTTACAAAAAACCTCTTGAGTATGTTTGAATCTAATCCTCACAAATTGTCCACTTTTTTTGATAACTTACCCCCTCTCCTCTGTCTTATCAAGCCAATTCCGCCTTTTACA